CACTCTCAAACACATGCTCTCCCATGTAAATACCCACTCCCTGCACACACACACACACACTGACACACACAGACAAAGATACAAACCTATAACGCAAAAGCAAACATTATGATTGTGCGTCTTGTGCCAACACAACGTATGTGAACGGATTCCTAGACAACGGTCAAGTTGGCTGGGATGGACTCAGCCCCCCTGCGCCCCTGTGTGACGGATAAGCGGTTTGAAGATGGATGGAAGCTCCTTCCTGGATAGTAGCTAGACACCTGTACTGAAACACACAAAAATTATGATTTTTGGTCTCTTTCTGGTTCTCTTATATACACGGTTAGTTGTTTTGTGACTATTTCACATAGTCGTGCTGTGTCTCCTCTTGGTTGTTATGGCTCTTGTAATCATTGTGTGTACAAAATGTGTCTTGGTAGTAAAAAACCTGATATTTTAGTGACGATGTGATGGTTTTTTGGTCTGCTTTCGTTTTTTTGCCGCATCTGTGTTATAATTTTGAGTCTCTGAGGTTGTTATCAGTGAGTTTGTGGTCATTGTTGCAGCTTTGTTGTCATTTCATGTGAACCTTTGGTAAGTTTAGTGTCTTTGCTGTTGATTTGAGTCACTCTGAGGTCATTTTTGTGGCCCCATGTGTCCGGTTGGCTGCTCCATGTTTCAGTCAGGTTTTCTCTTTGTGTCTTAATGCCAACAGGTAAAATGCCAATGGGACTGGTGCCACTACTCCCATTTCGTGCTTTCTCTCTCTTTAAACATCATCACCGGGCTCCGTCATCTTTGTTCTCCATTACCCCAATATATCAATTTACAAAAGAAAAATAAATATGTTCCATTTTCTGAAATGTGTCACACACATTTCAGGACACGGAACATATTTCTTAGGCTGCAGTTGCTGTATTGTGCATAATTTGTGAAAAGCAGACAATCTTGTCAATTCACTTCTTCCTCCCACAGGTGTACGAGCTTATGGAAAACTGCAGAAAATGTAGGCTCGCTAGACAATTAGGTTATAAAACCAACACTTTCTCCCCAGGTTGTAGCTATTCCTGGACCTGCATGCGGGAGGAGACCCGTGTGCTCTGCTGCCCCCTGGTGGCCGACTGCTGTCTGCTCTGATTACATAAAACAGGCCTCGAGTGTGAGTCATCACCCGCCCGGTGAGAACAGATGGGAGGTGTGTGTGTGCGTGTGTGTGTGTGTGGTGTGTTTGAGGTGTTTGTGTGGAGGACTGGGCGGAGCAAACCGCAGCCGACTGTGAAATAAGGGCTTTCCCCTCTCTCTCCTTTTCTCGTTCCCCCTCTCTTTCCTTATTTATTTTTTATTTTTTTGAGGTTCAGTAGGATCAGTGAAACAGTGACGTGCTGTGAACGTAAAAATAGACCAGAGTGCTGCAGAGTTTCTGTCTAAATTTGCAGCCACTTTGCATTTCCCCTTTAATTTAAGGATGACATGGAGGTTTACACATGATTACAACTGCCTTTTCCTGGAGGAGAAATACATCTAATAGGGCTTTGTCTGATTTTGGTTGAGAGACATCATCAGGCATTTTAGGATTGGATGGAAATGATTAAAGGGACAGAAATGCACACAACAGTAGCTGGATGGTGCATCTTGCCACAGAGGGTTGTGTTGCGTGTGTTGGTGCATACAAAGAGGGAGTTGGATCTGATCTGCTGGAACGCACCATCGAGCAGTCTGAGACACTAAAACGTACTTTGATTGGGAAGTATGATTAAAAGTAGTTACTTAAGGTCGGGGCTAGGGAACGGTGAAACAAACAGGCGCGACATACAGCGGAGATCTGTGCAGAGGAATTCCTCATCGTGGCAAGCGAAAAGGGGGGGGGCGTGTGCCAAACGGACCACTTAAAGCACTGCTATGCTAAACTAGCTACTATGCTAAGCTAGCTCAACATGTTCCTTCCGGTGGAATTCTGCCTCCAAGATGCTCAAATGTGTGTAGTTTTGTGTTTAAAATAACATGAACAATTAAATAACAGTGTCTAAAATACATTTTTATTTTTTTTTAGTCTCTGCTCTCTGTTCCTCCAGCTAGTCTTGGGATGCCTGGTTTCGTTCAAACATCTCCACAGCCTCCTTCTCCATTGTACGAACAGCAGCAATGTTCCTCAGCTGGGCGTGTTCAAGTTCCTGCCATGTTTTTTCCAGCCTGGCTTTGAAGGAAGTCCTCTCCTGCTCCCACTCAATGGTACGACTCTCTGGCTGCTGCTCGGCCTTCTTCACAGCGGCCAAGAGGTCGTCTTTCTTCCTTTTTACATAGTTTAGGTCCACCTCAAAGGCGTTTCTGTTTGCTTTCCCCTGCTTCCATTTCAAATGTTCACTCTCCAGCTGATCTTCAAATGTTTTCTTCAGAGCAGCTGTGTGTTTTTTGTTGATGTTGTCTTGCATGTGCAGCCTGTGAAGAATTTCTCCCCTTGAGGAATTCAGCTGTGTCGAGGACTCTTGCTGACGGTACCTTTCCAACACATAATTGGTATCTTTCATAGCTAAGACGTTCTTGTTGTTCTCTACTTTCTGTTTTTCTAGCTGGCAGGTCAGGGAAGACCTGTCCTCCCGCCACTGAAGATGTGCATTCTTCTGGTCCTGCTCAGACTTGTCCAGAGCAGCCGTGAGCTTAATGATAGCCTTCGCCTGTTCATCCTGTTTAACTTGGCAGGAGTCCTCGTATAGCTGCATTTCATCCTGGTTGGTCGTCTCCTGCGGAGTGGGGAGGTCCCCACTCTTGACAAGGTCCTGTGATAATTTCAGGGCAGCTGCCATCTTGTCGGTTTCTGCGCACTGTTTGCTCATCTTGTCCTCATGGAAAGCCTGGAATTCTGCTTTCATTTGCTTCACTGCCCGCTGCTGATTTCTGAGAGCTTCTGCCAACTTTGTCAATTCAATGTGTTGCTTCTTTGTTTAAGCCTTTTCGATTTCCAGTTCACTTTCCAATTCCAACTCTGTTTGTTTTAGCCACTGCGATCCATTTCATTTCAGCGCAGGTCTTCAACCTCATAGCGTCCGCGTCATTTTGAAGGGCCTCTTTGTCTTCCTTCATCCGCTCAGCTTGGAGTTGGTCCTGTGCTGCTTTCAGGGCCGCAGCCATCCTGTTTGTCTCTGTTTTCCAATTGGTCATCTGGATGTCGTGGAAGACCTGGAATGTGTTTGCTGCCCCCTCCTGGTCTTTGAGAGCTTCTGTCAATTTTGTAAATTCAATCCGTAGCGTCTTTGTTTGAGCCCTTTCAGCTTCCACTTGACTTTCCAATTGAATGGACCCTTTTCCTCCCTTTATCTGCAACTGTCTGGGCTGCGTCTTGATAATGGATGTCGGTTTCTCAACATCACCCTGGGAAATTGGGAGCCTGGCCTTTTGTAGCTGTGCTTTCAGGCTACACATCTCCCTCCATTCTTGGAGAAGATCTAGGAACTGTTGCAATCTGTCCTCATCGATCTGGAGGAGAACTCTCCCTACACTTGCCTCGCTGTCCTCCAGCTCAACTCTTACTTGTTTGTCCAGTGAACGTCATTAAAAGTTGGATACCGATTTGACATTGTTACCATGGGATAGCATTATGATATTGTTGCTATGGGATACCGATTTTTTCACCCTTTTTTTTTTTTTTTTACCAATCTTTGCTATATTATACAGTATTACATCATGCTGGTTGAATACCAGATTCAATGTAATGATTTCTGATAATCCCCCCAAATATGAAAGACTAAAATGAAAAATGTTAATTTAATTTTTTTTTAACTTAATTTTTGATTTTATTTCTTATATTATGACACAAAGCTATGGCATTATATATTTATGGCGGCATGTCCCAGAGGTGTTCGATCAGGTTTAGTCACGGGGTCGTGAGGGTCATTCCATTGCACGACCTACTGCACCAGCGTAGAGTGTGACCATGCGATCATCCCCATATATTAATAGCAGTCAGACTGCTGTTCTCTAGCCTGTAGAGGTCTGTGCGTCCCTCCATGGATACGCCTACAGACCATCACTGACCCAACACCAAACTGGTCGCAATGGTGCAGACAGCACAGCGTTCTCCTTGGCTTCTTCACAGGTGCTCAGGCAGAACTCATTTGGGGAAATGACATCCTGGAGGAGTTGGACATCAGTGCAACTTCTGTGGGGTTAACAAATGGCCTCCCAGTGGTAATCATGACTCTAGCTAATTCCTGTTATAGGAATTGAATGTATTGTGCATCTTACATTGTTCATATAGTCTGTCCAACCCGGGAGAGGGTTCCTCCTCTGACGTTCTTCCTCAGGTTTCTTCCCCTTCTTCCCCCTGGAAGGGTTTTCATTTTTTGGGCAGTTTTTCCTGTGCCGGTGTGAGGGTTTCGGGACAGAGGATGTCGCATGTGCACAGGCAGTAGAGCCTGCTGTGGAAAATTGGTAATTTGCAATTTTAGGCTGTACAAAATTTAAAAAATGAATTGAAGCCAACACTAGTGGAAAACCAGTCAAAGAGATCAAGAGGAAGAAACTGTGTAACCACGTCTCCTGACTGGCCTCGATCTTCATGTCCATGGCAGAGGATGGGCCTACCCACGGAAACCAGTTAAAAGTAACTCAAGGAAACACACGGCCACAATGCTATGCTACTCCCAGTAAGGCCAGAGTTAGCTTAACATGTGTTTTGTATATCCTTGTTTGTTTATCTTTACTGCATTGTTTAATGAGCTAGTAGTGGACTGACAGGCTCCGCCAAATGCTGCATAAATATTTCTGTATTGTCACATGCTGCTACGTAGATCTCGGACTCTGTCCGACAAACTGGTCACCTTAATTGGGACCGGTAGCTTTGACGTTAACACACAGAACCGTACTGAAGAAATGGCAAAGAAATTGGTTAATTAATTAAATAATCACAACTAAATTCAATTTTCCAGACTGCCTATGCTTGGGTTATACTAATAGAAAAACATCACCATGGAGAATGAGAATAACGCTACAAGAAGAACATATGAATCAGTTTCACTGTGAGGCAGAGGAAAAGGTATATGGTTTTATTAGGTTTTAAATCTTAGACAAAAACACAATCGGCAATGTGATAAACCTACAAAAGGCAGCGATGGAGATCTTGAGCATAGGAATGAACAGCGGAGGGTGGAGGAGGAGCCTGGGTCGCTGAGGTCCATTCTGAGTGGTTACTGAATCACGTCTGTCAACAGTAAAGCAAAGGGCTGACAAGAATGAAGAGACAAGCAGAGCGGAGCCAAAGATGTAAACTGGTGAAAAGATGATGATCTAGTGACGCAGGGAGTGAATCACTCCACGTGCAGGCAGACAGAAAATGTGTGACACAGATTTGTTATCGCTGGAACAAATGTGCAAGAATATAAACCTGTTTTGAACACAGTGGGTGTTGTTGAGGTGATAATCTCCATTTTACGGCTGTTTCCTTTTTTTCCCTTTTTTTTTTTAAAACTGCTTCACTGTATTTGTACACTGTGTATATGACTATTGTGTGTGTATGTATGTATGTATGTGGCTTTGGAAGTACAAAACGCATAGAGTGTAACATCACAGTGACTGGTTGAACCACATCGACCGCTTTGTTTTCCAACTCAATCTCCTTTTTTTTCCCGTGTGTTTCTCCCCAGCTCTTTCTTTCCATCTTTCACTGTGTCCCTCCACTCTTCTTCTTCTTCTTCTTCTTCTCTAAAAGCTGTGCGGCCCGACGTAGATGGAGAGTCTGAGGGCGGAGCTGGTCTGGTAGTTGCCCTGGTAGCTGAGCAGAGGATTTACTGACACCATCTCCAGGTCCAACGTGTACTCCCTGGGCCCCGACACGGCGCGCGCCAACACCAGCATGGCGCTGATATTATTGATTTGCTGAGGAAGACAAAAAAAAGGTACATTATCAAGCAAATTTTACATTAATTGCCCTTTAAAGGCAAAGTTTTGAAAATATGTTCAATTCGACAGTTGATGAGAAGACCAACACTTTAAATATAAAGCCACAGCCAGAAATGATTATAGCTTAGCTTGCAAAAACTGAAATAAGGTGGAAATGTTGCCTGGCCCCTCCATAGCACACTTCGTATCAATAACACGGGTTAAAATGTCCGATTATATCCTGCCAGTGTGAAAGCATGACGTTGTGACATTCCTGACAAACGCGGCATGTTTCATAAAAAGTCAGACCAATGTATCCATCAATCCCTGAAGAACATGAAACCCTGAAGTGTGAAGCTCCAGTGGGTCTTTGCACTCCTCTACGCTCTGTGACGGCTCTCACCCTGATGTAGAAGTCTGCGTTCTCGTCTCCTGACCGGATGCGGAACGTGTTGTAAGCCCCCGGAGAGACGCTGGTGGCCTGGATCTGGAAGATGTCCGAGGGGACGGAGCGCTCCGAGGTGATGCTCATGTAGCGGTGGACGATGGAGAAGGGCAGATCTCGACAGGCCGGCTTGTTGACGGGACAAACGCAGCGGCTGGATTCACACACAAGAGAGAGAGAGAGAGAGAAAAGGTCCGTTTGTCCATCAAGTGTGTTTGATGCAGGGAAAACGTGAACCGCGGTTCATGCATCGGCCAGCAGAGGGCGTGACGTGGCTGAGAGGGAAGCTCCTAAAATCTAAACAAATATTCAACGGGAGCCATTTTTCCTCTCATGTTTTTCTAAAACACATTTTATATTACCGAATCATCTGGCGTACGTTAACAGTGACCCACACCTGCTACCAATCCAACACGTGTAAACTGTAATGGTTTTTCTTATTGCGCTGGAGCACGTTCAGAAGAAAAGGTTGCGAGTTGGACTCATGTGTGGAAAAAGTAAGTGGGTAATCTTGCAGCCACACTCCAAACAGGGGGCTGATTATATTCTGAGCTGAATGCGTGCACATACTTGAGTAATTGGGAAAAGGTGTGCGACAGAGCACACATGCTTTCACGAGGTGTCACTCACTTCTCAGACACCTGCACATAAGGCTCCTGGCACCGGTTCGTGTCCACACACTGGTATCGTCCGTGGATGTTCACGCACGTCTGAGCCTCGCCGCACTGATGCTCGCCTGTTTCACATTCGTTTATATCTGCCGAAGAAAAGGGGGGAAAAAAAATAGCTGGAGACGTTTGATTCGAACGAGAACGGGACGAGAATAGAGCCACTGTCAAAGAATGAATGCAGCGTTGACTCGGTGTGGCTTCTGTGGCTCTCGAGAGCACCGGCAGGAAGGTGTCGGGCCTTGAGATGAGAGGGGGGGGGAAGAAGGCGGGTGTGCTTACCCTGGCACAGCCTGGTGCCTTGCAGCTGGTATCCCTCTGGGCACATGCAGGAGAACCTCCCCGGCTCGTTGACACACCGGTACTGGCACAGGTAACTGGAGTAGCTGCACTCGTCGATGTCTGTGCAACGGGGGAAGGGAGAGGCAGGAAAAAAAGCAAAGTGAGGGAAGTGTGTGCCATCGCTCGCATTCATCCTCGTTCTCTTACCGTTGCAGGCGAAGCCATCGGCCCCCAGTTCGTAGCCCTGGTCGCAGCGGCACAGGAAGGTGCCGTACGTGTTGGAACACCTCTGGGAGCAGGGGGCACCCATCTCACATTCGTTCACATCTAAAGGGAGGGGAGGTCGATTCCATTGATGAACTTAAATGCAGACTGAGTCAAACAGCCAAACACGGTTGATGTTGTAAAAAGGCAACGCACTTGTCTGCGCACTAATTGCAGTTAGTCAATATTGAACCAATATGAATGTCAAACCATGGATACGTTTAGTTAAATCTTGACCTTTACTGTTACCTATGTGGTTATGGACTTGTAGTATTGCTGATTAAAGCTTAAAGGTGGACATTTAACGGATTCATTTAGCAGAAAAGAGATAACTCTGCAGAGCGTCATCGAGTAAGATCTCCAAGATAAAGTGATCGGAGGCGCTGAGGACCCTTTGCAGACCTTCGGGCTGACTTCAGAGACATTGGCGGTTGCTTTTTGAGTCTTACGACTTGGTTGCGTTGGGCGTCACTCACCAATGCACGATCGGTTGTTTCCTGCCAGCTGGAAACCAGGTTCACACTGACAGGAGAAGGAGCCGGGGACATTGACACAGCGATGTTGGCAGTATCTGTACCTGCATTCATCAATGTCTGGGAGAGAGAAATGGAGTCAGAGAAGGGCCATTCACAGTCCTACAGGTTATTAAGGTCACTCTCGCGGCAATGACTACCTTTGCACTGGTCCATTAAGCAATCGACTAAAATGAATTAAACTAAAACCGCCGGCTACACAAGCTAACAGATGCATTGACATTGTCTTACCGATGCACTCTGTGCCGACCTTGCGGTAACCATCGGGGCACTGGCAGGTGAAGGCACCCAGGGTGTTGATGCACTGCTGGCTGGGCTGGCAGTCATCTTCCTCTCGCTCGCACTCATTGACATCTGTGTGTGTGGGTGAAGTGCAAAAAGGACACACATAAGGGGGGGAGGGGGTTTACTGTGAGCACACACGGCATCACTCATGACTGAAAGGCACAGTGAGAGTGTTGGAGGGCAGAAGATGGTGACTCCGTTCCCCTCATTTGCACCCGACAGCTGAGAGTATCACAACGTGTTGAGTCATGTTTGTGGTCCCAGATGAACACCTCGTTGTCCTCCGACGTTAGCAGGTTCCTCGCACAGCAGCTGTCCTCGTGTGAAATCTTCCAAATTCCTACGGTGTCTGCCTGCCCCACTTGGAATAACACTCACTTACACACCAACACACGCAGCCCACAGTTCCAACACCTGCTGCGGCCACCTGTTCCTACTATATCTGTGGCCGCCGACAATAAACCTACACAATCACACGCACACACTTAATGATCAACACCATCCCGTGGCCACCTGTCGCCCCCCCCCCCACAAACCAGACACCTACCGACACAGCTGTCTCCCTGCGCCTCGTAGCCAGCAGGGCAGCGGCTGGTCTCGGCGGGCGTGATGGGGGGCTCCGAGGCCGGGATGACGGACGCGGAGCGGGGAAGGCACAGGTATCCCCCGTAGTGGTTGAAGCATTTCATTTCCCCTTTGCACGCATCGGGGATGATCTCGCACTCGTTTATGTCTGATGGGGGGGGGAGACGAGTCAACCTGTTAGGGGTTAATCAAGAGGACGGGACAAAGGACGGGACAGAGCACGGGCAGCGACGTGGCGATGCCAGCTGCAGGCCTGTACGAGGATCAAGCAGCGAGGTGGAATAGATGCAGAATGAAGAGTGTTTTACCTTTGCAGTGCTCGGTCTGATGGTCCCAGTGATACCCATCTGTGCATTCCTGCGGAGAGAGAACGAGAGTGTGGGAAAATGATGGAAAGAAACAGGCACTCTGAGCCAAGTAGTTGCATAATATATTCAAAAAACATAATAAATCCCCAGGAGCGGAACTTTAAAAAAGGAGCAGAGGATAGAGGAACTTGTTTCCTGTGTAGGAGTACAGGAGAGCTGGGCCAAAAGGACAAGAAGGCCGCTGCCGTCAAAGGCTTTGTGACGTTTTGAAATACTTTACTTAAGCCGAACGTCACTTTGAAAACAAAGAATTTATAGCCACTGGAAAAAGGGTCATTATAATTCTGGAAAAAAAATAAGAGCTGCATGGAAAGAAAACCATTGGCATGAAAAAAAACACGGAATTAAAGCTAAAATTACCCCCAGCTACGACCACTGTTAGATGTTGGAAAGGGAAAACTGCTGTGGAATATTAAACAAGACAAATGTGAAGAAATAAGAAATGAAATTAGGAGAGAAGAAGAGTATCGAGATCAACATTTTAACACCATTTTTTTGAAGAGGGGGGGGGGGGGGTTCGGAAGATCATATGGAAGAAAGAAAAAGGAGTAAGAGACGAGGAGAGATTTGTCCATCCTTACCGTGTAGGTGTCGCTTTCTGTAGGCGGCTGTGAAATAGCACTGCGGAGGAGCACAGACACACATATGCACACGCACACCACTGACACACAAGCACCCTGCATACTAATGCACTAACGTGGGGGAGATGGGACGGGAACACACGTACAACATGCACACAAACACTCCGTGTCACAGGTAGCGCTGCTTTAAAGATGAGGGAGGCCGCCCCGCGCTGCTATCTGCATTTCAGAGGGAGAAACAGAGAGAACGACATGGAAGAGAAACATCAGAAACTCATTAAAAAAATAGAATGAATCCCTCTGACGGGTAAAACCATAAACACTGTGACTTGCTCCATCCTTCAGCCGAAAATAACAAAGTCAACACGGGAGAAGTGCTTTCACGTTAGCTGCTCACAGAAGACTCTCTGTGTCTCCGGACTGGCAGAATAAGAACGCTTTAATTTTTAAGTTCAGCTCGCTGTGTGTCAGAGCGGCGTTCGCCTGCAGCCCATCAATCATGGCCACGCGGCGCATATTTTATAACAGCATCTCCTGCTGAGCTGCTTCCATCTGTGGGATAGATTTTTTGGGACAGCCGTGTTGTGTTTTGTCATCGGTGCCAACTAAGCACTCAAGTACTATACTTATTCTAAGGTATCATGTCGACAACAATGCAGAGTTGTCGACGACGGCAAAACGTTGGCTTTTTATGTGATCCTGTTTTCACTTGAGTGAATGTTTGGCCGCGATGGGTATCAGGCGTATCAGGCGTTATATTTCAAAATAAAATTCGAATAATAATTACTACAATGAGAGACTCAATAATTTTGATTTAGTATTTCAAATAAACCATTATTTTGATAAACTAAGTCATTATTTTGAGATCCTGTCTCTTTAGAAGGAATCTTTCATCACAATGGGGGGAAATGGGCTTCCAGCGTGTTGGTTATTTGCAGCAATTACAGGCTGCAAATAAGCATCCCCTCTTGTTCTGTCCTTGAGCCAAGAGGAACCTGATTCCGCAGCTGGAAGATGTCAGTTACTTTGATTTCATTTACAAATAAAAATGCCCTTTTCACCAACACACGGGGGCTTAGTCGCGTGGCTGCTCTGAATTACGTCCTGTTGGGTTACGTTACGTTAAGTCCTGTTGAGATCTACGTCACCAATAATGATGACGTTGTGCTTTGTATTCGGCAAATACACTAAACAGAGCCACTAAGGTTCAGAATGTTTTACAAGATAATAACTTTATTATTACAAATATGTCATCGTGAGTGTACATTTTCAGGGCGTCCACACTGAAAGTGGCCATTTGGCATAATTGACACTTTCACTATGGATAAGTGTTTTGCTGGTAATTTGGGGGATTTTTGAATGCAGGGCTCACTTGCATTCTAGTATTCCTACATTGCGATGTTGCTTCTTTGACTTAAGCAATGGATGTACTTCACTACACAAGTATTTTGAGGCAGATTTATAGTACGTTATGTTTGCTGAGTCCTCTAAGTATTCTGATGGACTGGGCTTTTCTGCCAGCAGAGACACAAGCAGCCTTCTGTTAATGTTCCTGGAGAAAAGCTATAAGTGGCTGACTTTAAACATAAACAAATCACCTATTCCAGCTCCCGCAGACCGAAAAAAAGTACAAGAAATATATATTCTGAGAGAGTTCTCTTTGCACAGTCAGTGAGCTCCAGTTCACTCACATGACGGGAAAGTTATAATCACTGCCTGTCTACGTGCACGGGCGCATGCTCGGTTCTAAACTCCGGCGGCCGCATCTGCAAGCGTGGCTTATTGTTGTATTTCCTGTTGCGGCAAACAGACGGCCGCGAGGGGGACGTGGACACACTCAGATATTCGACGGATGACATCAGTGGCCATTCGGGAACTTTTGCGTGCTCAAAAACAACAGAACATGCCCCGACCCCGTCAGCGCAGACGGTGACGCACACCACTGTGCAATCAGACGGCCGCGGTGCGTGACCTCTCTTGGGTCGGCCCGTCCGGACACTTACAAGCCAGCAAGAATGTGACCCGAAGCCACCGGGGAAAACACAACCGAACCGCCGGCCTGTCAGGGGCCAGCGAGCGTCTGGCCCCTGACAGCGGGCAGCAGGGACGCATTGGGTGTATCCATGATGCCGCTGGAGGCCGAGTGGCGGTGGACCTCTGGAATGCCCGTGGCGAGGATGTGGCCGCCGGTTCCCAGCTGGGATGCCCTGCCACGGCAGTGGTTCCCAGAGTATCGGGTTCTGGGAAACCCCCCGTGGTTCACATAAGAGGACAGCTGGTGCCAAAACCTCCAGCCACTGCTGCCCTAACCTCTCATCTGCCCTCGGCGTGTGGGTGGATGTCAGAGAAGGTGAAATTCATAGTCTCGCTTTTTGACGTAGGGAGAAACAGGTTGATTGTGAAACCACAACACTGTGAAACATGCTTCAAGCCTTTCTGTTGCTTCGGAACGCCGGTCAGACACGACTAGACGTTGCCGTGGACTCTGGGAACCCGTGATGGGCATTTATTTTTATTTTGACGATTACTATTTAATACAGAAAATAATCAGCAAATGAATCGGTTCAAAAAAAAAAAGTTGTAGTCCCGCATTAGTGTAGCACCTGTTCTGTACAGCAGCAACAGAACTTTTGGCTAACCCGGCCCTCAGTGACAGCAGGATGACCCATTTCTAAATCCACCCAGTCAGCACACTGTATGCAAGATTTCAGGAGGCTAATAAAAGTGACCATGGGAGGACCAAGAAAAACACAGACCACACACACACACACACACTCAGAGTGTAAACTGCAGCATGGTCATGTGTTGTAGTGTATACATTAAAAACTTTGTGTTGTTCCGCTCAGTTGTGCATGGAGCTGCCTGAGAACACGGTGGCCCAGCGGGATAAAAACTGCTGTTTTTAATCACTATCATTCTCTCTCACACACGCACAGACACACACGCACACACACACACGCACGCACAGACACACACACACACGCACACACACACACACACACGTACAGACACACACACAGACACACACACAGACACACACAGCCCAATTCCCGTCCTGGAAAACTCCACAATCAGTGATGCATAGTGGCCTGCAGACACTCACTGTAACTGTAATAAACCCCTCTGGTACGGCTCTGTTCTCCCACCAGTGGTTTTGAGGGGGGGTTAAAGACCTGTGATGTATTAGTGTGTGCGAGCAATGCGGCACGAGATGACGTGCTGCTCGCGTGGGACTTGTGCCTGCTTTCTGTTGCCTTTATAATCCCACTGAGTCATTACAGGGACTGTCACGTGTTAGCGGTTAGGGGTTTACGGAATGAACAGGGATTTAATTGCTCTGTCAAATAGAAGTGAGGCAGCAGCATCCTCCTCTGCCCGCGATGTCAGCCAGAGCCCTTTTGTGTGCGTTTGTACCTTTTAGCTGCCACCTGTTTCTTCTTTTTGTTCAAAAGCCACTGCTGCCTCGTCCCAGGGAAATTAAAACCGCAGTGAATACTGAGATTGTGACACCGACGTGAAAAGTTGTACAAGAGGGGAGCACTTTTGTAACACACTGTGGGATAATACATGCCCTGTGACTCATTACCTCTCTTCCTGTCTATCCCCCTATTACAGTAACACAGTGCCAAGAAGCAAACTACTCAGACAGGACGCCACATTATCCTGGCTTTTGTAAGACGCAACATGAAGCCGGGAGAGCAGAGCGTGTGACGTGTATGGCCTGTACCAGAGAAGGAGATAAATCAAAACTATCACAAACACGGTCGGTCATCCAAAGGTTCTCTTTTATAAATAAAAAGCTTCTAACGCGGGTGTCAAGACATAAAAGAAAACTCACGAGTGAATCTTTTTTCCGGATGGATCTTCTCCTCCCCGACCGGTGTGTCCTTCCAACTGGCTGCTGTCGTCCCGGCTGAGTTGGCGCCCAGAAGAGGTCCCTTAAACCCCCGCCTGTCTGACCCGGAGCGAGTGAGTGGGGAGACCGACAGCTGGAGCAGCTGAACACATGCAAAGGGAGGGAGAGAGAGGGAGAGAGGGAGGAGAGAAGGACAGCCCATTCTACACCCCTCCCTCCCCCATCTGGCCCCCTGCGCTGCCATCATCCACCCTCCAAACCCCCTCTCCGCTGACCCCCCAGGATGCAAATTCCTGGTCTGCGGGCCGAAGACCAAAATTCCAAATCTGTTCAAATCGTAGGCCGAACAACAACTCACAGATTCACCCCCCCCCCCACCATCTTCATACCCAGTGCTCCCACTTACTGGTCCCACAACACACCTGGTTTCATTTAAACTAAACCCCCGCAAAAGCCCCAAGCCCTCCCTCCCTTTTACCCCCCATCTATCTATACTTACCTCCCCCATCTTTGACTTTTTTTCTTTTCCATAAAGCAGCTTAAGCCTTCGCTCTCGTCCAATCTGACATGCAGGATATTTATAGCTGGGGGGAGAGAAGTTAATGGAATGTAGACAAAAATTAGAGAGTGGAAGAGAAAGAAAGTGGAGACTCATTCGGAGAATTTGTCAGCTTATTTTTCGGAATAAACTGGAGTCCCGTTATGGTGTAAAATAGAGAAAATAAAACGCTATCATTATCTTGAGCCACTCTGCTGCTCCGCTAGAACATGAGCCTTCCGTTAATGCACTTGGAATCATCTGAGAAGTGTTGTTAAATATTCTTATATTCTTTAATAGACAATCTTTGTCTTTTTTAGGGATTTCAACAGTGTTACTTTGAACACTGTGGGAGGAAGACTTGTATTCTTCCACCTGTTTTCAGTTTGTCAGCCTTGTCTCTGTTTATCTGTCCTGTCCTTCTGGGGGGTGGCAGAGATGGCAGCTGTCATTAGGGGAGATGCTGTTAAAAGTCACACTGACGACCCCCTGGCTGGACCAACTGTGCCCCCCCGGCAGGTCCCTTATTCCCACGACCACACACAGGATCTGGAAGATGTCTCAGGCCACGCCGCATGCAGTCAGCTGGCCGCATCGAAATCTGAAACACTAATACATCTCAGATCGATGAAGAAGGGCTTCAGCGGTCGGCCATCTTGGCTTTTGTGCTACGATTTGAAGTTCTACCTCTCTGTTCTCCATCCAACGCTTAGTAAGATCAGTAAAATGGGTTACGGATAACAACTCCTCCATATAACGCTGCAGATAAAGCGACAACGTGAATCGGAGTTTTGATGTAAATACCTTCCTTTTTATTTACAAACCAAATGTACAGACACCGAATGGACGCAAACAGGGAGACACAAAGATTATCACCACTGGCAAAACCAAGCAGATGAAGCACAAAGCGAAAGGGTGCAGATGGCGGCCGCGGAGAGGGCGAGCAGCCAGAAGGAGCAGCAGCGAGGACACCGCTTCAGTCGTGGTACATTTTGAAGATACAGCTTTTGACGACGTCCATGTATCTGTTCCACACCACCTGATGTCTGAGGGTCAAAGACGGAGGGACAGAGACAGAGCAAACTGTAAGTGAATGGAGCCAAGAGGTAACGCAAGACTCATGACCATCTGTAATTGTGAAATAGTGTGAAGAGAGTAAATGAGGCAATCTTTGTCCGCTCGGTGTAATGTATGAGGGGGGGGCTGTCTGTTTCTTTTTATGAATATCTCTTTGTTAAACATGTAGTGGTGCCGGGGCTGTGTAAACCCTTAACTACATTCCAGAGTGTTTGCATGAGAAACAAGGTGACTACAGTTTGAGGAATCGGGGGCGAGACAGGGTGACACCCACTGGTAGAGCAGAGGCGTCAATATCAGGAAGGACTGAAAACACAACGTTATGCTTGAGCTGCTTCGGTGATTGCCAAAGTACACCTAATATTTGATTATTGTTACGGGTTTCTTCTGTGCAGAATCGCCCCCGTAGGAGAAAACAGTCGCGCTGTACCCGAGGAATAAAATAAAAGCTCATTAACTCACTTGAATGTGTCGAGAAGGTGCACGGAGTTGTTGTAGTGAGTCAGGTAGAGCCGAACGTCCGCAGAGGTCCATCGGTCTGAGCGACACGGCTCAATAAACTAGGTGGGAGTGGGGGGAGTAAAGGGAGAGGTGGAGGCGTTATGGCACGCAGTCTCAAAAGGCACACTTCAAAACCGGACTCAACCAATAGAAACTACGTCTTGTAGAGGAACAAACCTTCTCCACAAGATCAATGAAAAGGTCCCTGACGTCCTTTGCGTTGGTTAGCTTTGCGGCAATGTTGACAAGGCCTCTGGATAGATTCTACAAAGAGATGGAAATAATTGTCATAAATAATAGTCATTTCCTCTCACTGTACAAATCGCTGACTAATTTCCCAAATTCTGGGGTTATTTCTCTGACCTTAAAATTAGTCTCCATCTCGTTCAAATTGTTGGTCTTTCCTCTGAGAGCTGTGCAGACCAGGCTGAACAGAGAGGAGAGAACGGAAAGAGGGAAATTGCCAACACGTGTGTTTATAGAATTGAAATCAAAAGCCAGTTTAAAATTTCAGAAATAGCAAGAACATGTTTGTTTTCTGTTATTTCTCAGTTACCTTTTGTGTTGATCCAGCAAATCTTTGTCATTGATTAGAACCTTCAGTTCTTTCAGGTCTTGTAAAAACTCTTTATCCAGATCCACGTCCATGTCTTCCACCATGTTATCTGCAAAGTTAGACACTGTCATGTCTGTTCAAGAGTTTTACTTTTCTTTTTACTATTACCACTTTTTTTTCTGGCAATTGTCATCCCACTCTGGCTTAACCAGTTTAGAGTGTTCGCTTTACACAATTTGAATTCATCGTTACAGTAATGAGGATCCGTAAAACCTGGAGGACCTCTGGTGGTCAGCTGGCCTCACTGACCAAGCCACAGCTCCGAATGTTCCGTATTCTTAATATCCAACATCAACAGCGTACCTCTTGTCCTTATGTGAGACATTCGTTTAAAATCCTCTTTATATTTAGTCTCATAGCTTCAAATGTTTGTTTGTTTTATTCAACTTTTGTTGTTCTTGGATTTACTCTAATGTTGTATCGCTCTTTCAGCCTCAAACTGAGACCCGTTTAGAGGGTAAGAGATGATTAATACGCCTTAAAAAGTCACACGTCTCTTTTACATCTCAGATTTAAAAAAACGGCTGAGGGAAACCAGACGAAAGGCTCACCGACGGCCCCGACGGTCCAGTTGCTGATAAGCTGCCCGGCGCAGAAGGCAAAGTCCTGGAATGTGAGATACTGCAGCTTTCTTTTCCCCGTCTCGAAGCGATTGTTAGCAAAGAAAACAATGGCAGCGTAATCCCTGAAAGGAAAAAGGGCATTATTGAAACAACAAAAATAGATAGATAGAACATTTAATAAAGAAAATAACCAGAACTAGATGTTTTTACGTTGAATGTCTTCTCAGGTGAGGTTTTTTTTTTTTTTAGAGAAAGCTGAAAAAGATATAAACCTAATTTCTTATAACAACTGTAGCAACACAGAAGCAGGAAGGGATCTTGTACGGTCTTCACACGGATTACCTTGCAAGTTTATCAGAGAGAAGAAAGTGGTGATGTATGTTCTCCACCAGAGGGCCCTTCAGCTCCTCCACAACTTTAAAAACACGTTTGAAGTTGTCAAACTGAAATCAAACACGTGGCTCATGAGATTTCATAAATTTACAACAGCATGACAGAATGTATAAAATCTGCAAAAAAATGTATACATCAGACAAAAAAAGATGTGTCGAGAATTCAGCTCGTCAAAGTCCAAACATATTTTAGAAACAAATAACCAAAAGTTAGATTAGGACCAGGAAGAATTTACGGTGGTTTAACAACCGAAATAAGCTTGTGTCTCTTCTGATAAGTAGTGAGCAGTGACCATTTAAAACCTTGTGGGGGTTTTCACCTGTCGTCTGCAGCTCTTCAGTGTCACTCCTGTCTTGGCTCCAATATCGTCCAAGTCTTTTTTGGTTCCTTTGGAGAGTTTCTTTCCCAGGACCTCGCGGACAAATCCATCATCGAAGGTGTAATATCTAAACATGGCAGAAGAAGAAATATTCTCATTTATTACGACAGCAAAATAAAGCAGTTATGTTCAGTAATAAATGCTTGCAGTGGTAACAGCTGTCTTGAGAGGCCTTTTCAAAGATGATTGAATGTTGACAACGAGATTTGTCCCATACCCTCAGACACTACAAACAGCTAATTGACGGTGAAAGAATTAGAGCATCGTATGTGCACCTTTCTATGAGCATGGCTTGTCGATGAGGTGGGATCTGGAACAGCAGCTGGTTGCCTAGTTTGGACGGACTGTGCAGCAGACGCTCACACATCTGGAAAGTCCTGTACTGGTCCATGGTGTCACTCAGCAGAACGTCCGCACTCGCCTCACACTCCTCCATCACCCCTCCATCCATCCGTACCCTCACTGCATCGTTCACTGTACGGATAAATCACACAACCTTGGCGATCCAACCGTGGCGGTAGCTGTGTGTAGTAACCTTCCCCAGCAAAGCTGCTAGTGTGGCATACATACGGCCATTATTCTTTACCTGGGACACGACAGGAACACTGATGTAAATTGTAGGTTTCATTGTTTGTGTTTTCCAATCTTGTCACAGATTGAGCACATTACTGGGTTCTAATCTGTAACCCTTTAGAGGAACGAAATGTACATTCAAAACACTTTAAATTAGGTTGGATATATTACTCATTACGAGTCATTGTTGAATATTTTTAAATAGTCAGTATCCTGAATTTAAGAAAATAAAAGCCTACAATTAAAAAAATATAAAGATTAATTAAACTTACGATCCTGACCAGCAGACATTTTAATTGAATTATATGTTTGAGGCTAATGCAATAAAACCCACATTGAGTGAACACGTCTGACTCATACCTGTGTATCCGTCCAGCCAGAGCTGGTACACCTCCTCGTCCATGATGGTGGTGTTGCCCACGAACACGTCCAGCTCCATCGTCATCTGCGTGGCGGCAGGGAGGTAAAATAAAGTGGGTCAGGTTTTCTCCTTTAGCACAAGTCAAGTTAGCCGTCACCAGCCAGCCAATCGCCTCAGCGGGACGCTTTTTTAAGTGCCAGAGACAAAGGGTGTACCTTGCTACGAGTGTTGTCTTGACCAGTTTTAAGCACCGAACTGTGATAAAAGCTGAAATGCAAAGTAATCGGTGAAATGATGTCGGCTGAGTTTGAACCCTCTTCCCATGGCCGCCTGACTTCCTCCGTTACCGACGAGCTTCTTGTAAACACGTCCGCGACGTTAGCAGCTCCGAGTTGAGAACCGGACAACAAAACGGTAAATGTACATACAATCAAGGTAAGTGTGCGCGGTTTAAAACACGATCATCTACCAAATGGCAGCGCGCTGCATCGCTACGGGCGCTCGTTGTCAACAACGGCAGCAAAACGGACTTCCGGTTTCGTTACGTCACAGGAAAGGTTCCATTCATGCGGTGCATCACTGACTGTCCGTCTTCTTCAAATCAACTGACTGGCCTCTTTTTTTCTGCTGTAATGTTAAGATTGAGGGGCAACGTATTGTTTATACTATATTACTACTATATTGTTTAAGTGCAGATTAGAGGAAGCGTTCTCGCATGGAATCACTGATTTTTTACAGTATCCCACCAAAATCCAAACCCGAGCACACATTTTAAAAGGAGCGTTAGCACATACCTGCTGCTGAAAATGTGTGATGATTTTGCATGATTGCGTGTTTTCAATTTTAGAGTTTGTGTCATGAAACCCATTTGTTGAAATTAGGATTTTATTCTAAAACTCTCGCTGTCATTTCTGATTTAAGTGTTTATTATTATTATTATTTATTGTTCTTTTCCTGCTAGAACTTTGTGATTCTAGTGTATGCAATTTTATTATTACACATAAAACACAAATAAAAGCAGATATATATAGCAGTTCGTAGGTTTCTTTAAACAGATTGATTTGAATAAAGAATATTATAAGCGATCATTTCTCATAACTCGTTTGGTAGCCCGTAGCTTGCTAACCCGTTCCATCGCGATGCCAAAGGCCGACCAGGTTCGGTTGCCTGGGTTGTTTTGTTTCATACGACCACACTCTGTGTACCGTCCCTCGTCTAAACCCAAACCAAAAGCTGAGAGTGTCTTGCTCTTCCTATCAGCGTACCGACATGAGGCCTACCCAGGACCCATAGTGACCCGCCTATGAGCCGCAAAACTGGCCCGTGTTCAATCCTATTGGCAAGCATTTCATTTCAATGAAGACAACTAATTACAATGGACATCTATGTAAACGGTCAAATTACTAGAACACATATGTCGGATAGGGAGTAGTCGGATAGGGAGTAGCCTATTGCTGTCCATCCATTTGTGCTCTCACATTGTTTTAAAATGTGTCCGATCCGAGATCTGTGTGATCACACGGCCTGTGTGCCCTGCTAGCTGCATGTTCTCAATCTGCTCTCTTTTCCTCTGTGGATTAATCTAAATAAATCCCTGCAAATCCCTCTCGCTGCCCTCCCTTTTGCTGTTTCTGAATGTGTCCTTCAAAAATCACAACATAAGGGAAAATGACTCAGTCAACATGTCTTTTTTGTCGGATCTTTCGCTGCACATCAACACTCTCACTTCTAACACCACATGACACCCTGATTCCATCCACAGCTCCCTCCTGCACTGTTAACACCCTCCATTGTTATGGCCTCAGCTAAACAATGGAGGTGGGACAGAGGGCGGAAGGATGTGGCTGAATGCCTCAGCATAAACCCGTGGAAAAAAGCATGCAGTCACACTTTCCGCCAATGTTTTTTTTAAAGAAAGCGAGTACAACTAAGAGCCCTTCATGATGTAACTGTACTATACATTTTTTTTTGTAGTCAACAGTAAGGCACGAAGGGCGTATTGGGTTTCCTCCTATGTTTTGCAATAGTTTGGGATCTGATCGAAGTCTTTCTTGAAAAGGATGTGACCCAGCTGTGCAGATACTAATTCCCTTCAAGAAGTGTGCATGTCCTTGTTGTTTTAGTAACCTATGGCTTGATATGATGAAGGATAAAGTTTAAAATTCAAATTAATTTTTTTTCAAGTTGATTTCGAAGAGAGTGCATGGAGCAGATCATCACCCTCACATCTGGATTCATTTAAGAGCTGAGTAAGGCCAGACCAGACCAAACTGTTCGATCATGTGTTCCCATTTACTACCATGCAATAGGCCTATGGTATGCGAAGAGGCACTGTAAACCTCAGAGGAAACCACCAACATGTCCGATTACTGTCCAACCGACGTGTCAAAACAGCAGTCTTAATAAAACGGGAAACTTCCGGGAAAACATTCAAAATAAAATGATTGTCGTTGAAGAAAATGATTAGATTGAAACCCAAAGAAGTCACCCTGCAATTAAAGCGAATATATTCATGAGTACGTAATCTGCAATGCAGTTAAAACAAATGCATTTTCGCTATTTTCATTTAAATGTAATACGTCAATGCTTTTACTTCGAAGGCCACAAACATCGCGCTTCCGGCTGTGCTCCGGCTCGCTGCTCGGTGGAGTCGCGGCCGTGAGAAGTGGCGGAGGCGGACATTGTTGTGGTAACAGTCCAGCCCCAGAGGATGCACCGCGGCGATGCACTCACTCTAAACGGATGAACGGCGAGATTAGATTTTAATTTGTTTGTTTTTTGTTTGTTTTGCGTTCACCCGAAGATGAGTCGTTTGTGAAAGAAAAAAGAAAAGAAAAAGCCGCCGCGGCTGCTGCTGCTGCTGCCGCTGCAGCGAATACGGACTCGGAGTTCATTCAGCCCGGTGAGACGTAAAAAAAAAAACACACACACACACACAACATCTGTAGGGTGTGCATCCCAGGCTGCTGGATTAACGTGGATCGACGGGTCTTTCTGTGCATCGAGGCCACTGAAGCCCGCGGGGCGGCCCGTCGCCCTCGAGTACACTGCGCGAGGAGGTAAAACGAGGACACTAGTATTCCTGGAGGCCTTTGGAGAACACATTCTGCCGTGGAGAAGATGACAGATTGACATTAAACACGGCCTCGCCAAGACGTTATCCGCGGAGAACTGGGTCCAGCACAGATGAGGGCCTGAGTCCCCGCGCCATCTAAAGAACAACAACAACAACCACAAACGAAAATCACGGTTTTTTGGTGCCATGATTCGGCCTTCGGGTCCGTTGTGATTGCACAGGCTGACATCTGGAAACCACACGGCGTGCAGAGGAAGAGGATGTGATGGCTGTGTGTTAAGCGCAGAAGCACCCACCTACACCTCGGCGCTTTTAATACATCCTCAGGCGCCATCTACTTGTAAAGGTTTTTTGTTTTTGTTTTTTGTTTTTAAAATACAAAATGGGAAGCGACGGTGAGATAATTAATCGAGAGCTGTCAAAGATGTCCGACGAGGATTTGCTGGCGTGCTCCAAAGAGGAGCTGGTGAGCCGGCTGCGTAAAGAGGAGTCGGAGAAAATAGCGGCTCTCATCCAGCGAGGGCGGCTGATAAAAGAGGTAAACAAACAGCTGCAGGGACACCTCCTGGAAATCAGGGAACTGAAAGTCATCAACCAGCGGCTGCAGGAGGAAAACGTGGAGCTGCGGGACCTGTGCTGCTTCCTCGACGACGACCGCCTCAAAGTGAAGAAGCTGGCCCGGGAATGGCAGCTGTTCGGGCACCACGCCGCCAAAGTGATGCGGGAGGACCTGGGCGGTTACTTGAAAAAGCTCGCCGACCTGGAGCGCATGCAGGACGGGCTGGTGAAGGAGAACCTGGACCTGAAGGAGCTGTGTCTGGTCCTGGAGGAGGAGTGCGTCAGCAGGAGCGACTCCAGCCCCGGAGGGTCCTCCGAGCTCAACCTGCCCTGCATGGTGGCCCGGGACCTCGGGGACGGAAGCTCGAGCACAGGCAGCGTGGGGAGCCCGGACCAGCTCCACCTGGTGTGCTCACCTGACGACTGACGGCGGGTTTGGCGGCAGCAGCCGGGTCTCCTCCGACTCCTGCACGGCCTTCGTGATTGACAGAACGGAGACACGGGGTTTGGGGGGTAGGTGTGGTGGGAGGGCCGCTCGACAAATACCAATCAATTTGGTGCAAAAACAAAAAAAAAGCATCAGGGCCTTCTGAATGCTGCGAAGATCTGCGTGCCACTAGGTTTTTTGACTTGACAGAGAATCTACCACTAAAAAACATTTTCAGGACTTTACAAAGACATTTAATAGATGTTTGCCAGATGATAATGTCTCAAGATTTTACAGTATTTGTTTTCTAATGACTCTTCTGTTTTGGGGAGACTCTCCTTTTTCAGTGGTCTGTTGTTTAAAAAAAAGAAAAGAAATGGGACCAAAAGACCTGGTCTCGTATATAAATTTGTCTCATGCACTGGACTAGCCTACACTGGTAGAAGCCTTTATTCTATTGCACTGGACAGCGCTATCATGGATCTTTAAATCCTAGATTTGATGATTCATTTCAATCCAGTTTTGAGCCATATTTAGTCCACTGAATTCCAATAGCACTGAAATAGATGAGTTGTAATAAAAGAAGAAGAAAAAAAAACTATTTGATATTTGCTTTTGCTATAGATGCCCGATACTGTGTACTATTTTATGCACTCTCTTCCTCAGGACAGGATTGGAGTGCCATATGTGCATGATGATTGTCACAATTTGTACAGGCCTGTTAACCAGTCTGATGTGAGGGCCCTTCAGGTTTACTGTGACGAGCCAGCACACATGTTAGGGATCAGACATGGTAGATGTCCTTGGACCTCACTCAGAGCTGAACGGAACAAGTTCGGTCACTTTTTTTAAAAATCCAACCGGAGACTCTTTGTATCAAACTGGAAGGTCTACAAGTTTTAATGATTTTTATTCTATTTCAATCCAAGCCGTTTGAATTCACTTGTGTTACATTTCTTACATTGTTGTTGATGTTCAATTAGCTTTTCACGGAGTTTGTTTGAGTTGACAACGGTCGGCTCCGTCTTCTGTAACTCATGCTTTGTATTTACCCTGTAACATTAACTCTGACCCTTCTTTATCTTGATTCATCTGTATTAACTAGCATTAGGCTACAAACCGATTTCAGTTTAAATCATAGATAATACACATGGATTAGAACAGATTTATTTTGTTGTTAGCTGTTTTTTGGTGGGCTGCTCGTAGTGCATTGAAGAGCTTTAAATACAGTGGCTATGACACTTTGTGCTGTTCTGACCTTTCTTTGTGTTCGACTTTGCAGAAACGAGCATTTACACATTTACATGACAGAGAATGAAGGATTGATTTCTACGTTTGTTGTTTTGACCTTTCGTGTCTGAACCGACTGCACTTGACTGATGCTCCCGTCACGTCACACGGACCGACTTTATGGATGTTCATCAGTTTTATTTTTGGATCCCGGTCTGCAGAGCTGTACAGGGCAGTAATGCTTTTAACCACTTAGCGGTGCACAGACGTCCTGTGACAGCAGCAAACACACAAATGATTTCCTCCATCATGCTCTCAATCAGACTCTCGTCCGAGCTCAATTTCTCTCTTCAACCCCTTTTTAGAAGAGCAACCCAATTCCCTGTGAGCCATGTAAGTATGTATTGGCTGGAGATTCACTACATTTTTTTAAACACAGAAAAAACGAGAACACAGTGTTCATGATTATTTTTAATTTCATTTTCAAAATTAGGTGTTTCCTCTGAAATTTAGGTAAGGAGAGAGAATGTGGTCATTATAACTTGGGTCAAAGAATGTGTCCTTTTTTTCCATGACCAACACACACAGATATTTGGTTTACAATCTCATAAATTACTGGGGCACAACCTGAAAATGTTTATTTTTTCTTGCTTAATCTAAAAAAAAAAAAATCAATATTCAGTTAACTAATCAAACACTCCTCTCAGTCCTGTTATTCACATGCAGGTCTCTGTGGTGTTCAATTGCAATTTGAAATACTTTAATCTCAATTTAATCTGACAAATGTGTTGATTTTCAGATGCAGTTAAGTTGTAATATTTATTATTGTTAATATTCTGTTGTTGTTTTTATAATATTAATAATATCACACCATCACAAATATCACACGGTTATGAACCTTTGCTCTTTATTGGCTGCGAAGTAGTACATCTTTAAGAAGAGAATAAAGTAAGGCACTGCCCACCAAAATAGTTCATCTGTCAGACAATAAAAAAATATATATTACGCTCTCAAGAATAAATATGCTGTAACATCATCTATATTAACTCCTATGGCCCAGCCTTAGTGGTCAAATCTTTGCATCGACAATATTAGAATTCATAAAAGATTCATAGAAAAATTAGGACCATTTAGTTATAAGTACTCTTTTTCCCTTTGTGGGGAAGTTTGTAAAATGTTACACAACATAACGTAACAATGTAAAAAGGTATTAAATGCATTATTATACAGAATTATCGCTAGTCTAATATATTATCAGATGTAGTTATCAGAGTTGTACTGTTCTAGAATTCTGCATGCAATGCTTAGTTTTTAACCTCAAACCAACTCATTATCGCTAAAAGCTATAATGACTTTAGTAACATAAAATATTTGTATTTGAATCAATACTCAAAAGAGTGTAACTTCCTGCTACTAATTAGCATATCATCTCAGTAAAGAATCAACTTTCTACAGAGAAGAAGTGACACAGATGCACACAGCTCATTTTGAAATGTTTAACCCGATCATTTTTTCATTCTCACTTCCTGGAGACACTCTTGGTCGACGAAATCAACATTAGTTGGGTTTTGCGGCACGAGATCACAGACTGATTATGGTCGGCGAGTGCAGGGAGTGATCCGATTGGTCTCCGCTGCTGCTGCTGCGCCGATGAGCTATCCCGCACGGCTGCGGGGCGTGAGCCTGGTGGATGCTTCCCTGGTGTGACGTGGTGTGGGGCGCGGCGGTAGTGTCTGAAGAGGCGGAGGGATAGGTGAACACCATACCAGCCGTGAAGGCCAGGAGGGAGGGCGTGGACGTGATAACCGGGGTGTGCAGAGACTCGGATTCAGCGGCAGAGGCCGCCGATGTCACGTCCTTGGTGGGGATGGTGATCTTTGGTCTTGGCTTCTCCGTCTTCGGCGGCAGCTTGATCGCGGGTCTGCTGAACTCCTGCGGCTCTAGTTTGATGCCTCCCAGCGAGGAGGTTGATGGATTCGGGTCAGAATCAGAATCCGAGTCCTCAATTTTACAAATGGGACGGTGAGCCTCCAGGACCAGCTCAAGCTTGTCTTTCTCCTTTTGTAATTCACTTATTTCCTTCTGCAACTTGGACTTTTCATCCTCCAGCTGGTCGGTCTCCTGCACCAAAGGAAAGCAGAGAGAGAGAGACGGGCGTATGAGTAAACTCCCCCATGAATCATTGGGACCAATGCTTTGTATTTCAACCATTAGTGTTTGGACATTTAAACAATGTTCACTCACATTTTGCAGCGTGTCTGTCAGCTCCCGACGGCGATTGCGACATTTTGCTGCCGCCAGCTTGTTCCTCTCCCTTCGTATTCTGCGTCTCTGCATCTCTTCTTGGGATAACTTCCATGAGAAAGGGGAAGGTTAAAGATTAAAACACATAAAATGAATCAACCTGACGCAGTGAGTCAAACTCTAAACTGTGTTGTCTGTCTACAGTTGGGTTGAGACAGTCCGGGATGCCATCATAGACGACATGACACATGTGAAATACTACCACCATGTGTGTGCCACGAGTCATCACAGTCATGGCGGCTGAATGGCATTGAAACGTCTGAGCTCTTGTGCCAATGAAACACCCGTACTCTGATTTCATCCAGCACGCGGCTGAATAATTGACGTTGATCAAATATTTGCCGCCCTTTCGGGCTGATGAGTCAGACCCAAGTCGTGACTCAGGTGTGAGTCACACAACATGACTTGCCCCTGTGAGTCACATGACAGTCCACTTCCTGTCCAATGAGAGTAGAGTACAAAGAACAAAGCTGTGATGGATATGTGCCAACGTGCGTCTGATCTAACACAAAGAATAGTGTCGGCGGCCCCAAATGCTATCGGTTCTTGAGGTCAAAGTAACGTTGAACTGGGTCACTTTAACATCTATGAGATTGTGTTTCGACACGTAGCTTTACTCTGCAAACAAAAAGCAGGTCTTTGTTAACAGTGTTAAATTGAGTCAACAAAGAATCATAGCGAACGCCATCACAGTACAGTAACCGTAAGTTTTCTATTTGAAAACTTCATTAGAAAATGTATTACATGAAATATTTTCTTAATCTTTTATCGTCCTTACCCTATTCCTAATTCATTTCACCTAATTTGTAGGTCCAAAAGGAAATTACACAGTGAGTATTACAAGCTATTGTACTAGTTACGAAATTATTAGCTAGCGTCCACACCTCAGTATCTGCATTCGCTCCAGGGGAAATGTGCCACCCAAGATAGCTCCTTTTATTTCCCTCCTGGTCGACAACTCCACAATTATCTATGTGTAAATGGATGTATATATTTTTGTTTCTGTTATTCATTTCTTACATGTTCATCGCTCCTGCGCCTTGTCGAAGCAGTAGTGTTTGCAGCTGCCCTTATGATCCCTGGTCTGAAAAGATGGGAAGGCAGTGGACCCAGAGGCCGTGGCCCCGAGAGGGCCGGGTAGGGAGGCACTGGAGATCGGGAAGGGCCCGGCGGATGGTTGAGGGTGGGCTGGACCAACCACTGCAGGTCCTGGTTGCTTGTGATGGTATTCAGGCTTGGTACAAACTGACCGCTGCCAGCCATTATAAACTTCTGGCAAAAAATGTATTGAAAAAATGTAATAGATAAAGTTAGTGGAAGTAAAACAATCCAACACAACCAATCACAAAACATTTCGTTTCTGAGGTGTAAAGGGAAATTATCTGATGATGAAGCTTATCATGGTTACATACACATAATGATAAGTTGTATAACTACTAAATTACATATTATGTAAAATGAAAAGTACTACTTCATTGAAGCTTGACATCATCAACGTTGTATTTGATTCTTACAGTAAAGTTTAGATTGAGTTTGACCGCTAACTCCTTGAGGTATAAACTCTAGAATTAAGAACACCAACCTGCTCCTGCTGTGTAGTCGTAGTGCTGGAGGTTCCCTGGGAGTTTGACCCGGAGACGCTGCCTGTGTACGCCGGGTGGCCTCTTCCTTGACTCCCAAAGTTTCGATACATGTTTTCTGTTTAAATGAAAAGAAACCTGTATCCAATGGCAGTAATATAGCCTTCAGGTCCCCAGAAAAGTACTTTCGAGATGAATCTCGTGTGTAAATTCAAAAGGGTTAAACCCACTTGCGGCAAATCGGTAGAGTCCAAACGGGAGCGTCTTCAAGGGGGGACAAGGAAATATCGACTCGTTTTTTTCCCAAATCGCCTTAAAACTCCCCAAAACTACTTTTTGTAGCACCTCCTGTCCTTAGTTATACATCTAAACGCCACGGTCTGGGAATAATTGTGAGGTTGTAAACTCTTAAAGCGGTGCCATAGGTTCGCCACGCCCCTCTGCAGTTACGGGAAATAATGTTGTCTGGAACCTCTCACGAATCAAGCCACGTGCCGTGACGTCATTGACCATATATGGTAAGCGCTTCCTCCTAAGAGTCAGTGTCGGGATTCCTCAGACTGAAACTCCTTATGATGGCAAAGGTTGAAATACTACTATAATTTCCTACTCCAGTGGAAGTGCTTTTACTTATGTAATCAACTTTATTTAGGTCATAATGTTTTGCTAAATACTTGTGTTTTATCAACTTTTCACAATTTTCAAATTTCAGGTGTAGTTCATAACATAAATATCTAGAAATTATTTTTGAAAACTTTGTAATCGGATATAAATACATTAACACAACCGTACTTTACAATACTTTATGTTAATATCAAACTATATACCATCAAATGTATTCACTTTTTAATCCTATGGGTAATGAAGCCATCAGGTATACTCTTGATACGCTTACATTTTACATACGAATATCAGGTTTGCAGGTGTGGTTATGTATAAAGTATAAAGTGTGGATGAAGCCTGGTGCATTCTGTGCCTAATTGTTTTGAGGTTTTTGGCAGTCACTTTCTCTTCAAAAACCACATTAATGTGTACACATGCCTGTGGAAATGAGTCAATGCATTACCACAAGTTACTCATTTATATCTTCATCCTTTACAACCAAGTATTTTTTACTTGCAAGCACAATACAATTCTTAGCAAAGATTAAAAAACTGCATGCTATAGATTTTGTAAGCTTAGTCTGTCACAGCAGCTGCTGACCTTGCAGTCGCAAAGCGCAGAGTTCCCAGCAAGGGTGGATTTCTTCTAACTGTTGATGCACCAGTGTCTCACATTACAGCTAATTCTTCTATTCTATTTTTTTTTTTAAAGAGTTGCAAAACTTAATAGGAAAGACAGGCCGTATTCTTTTTTTCACAGGGAGGAAGAAGAAAAAAAGTGGTGGAGATTAATCATCCTCGTGTGAGTAGTGGCCTTCAGTCTCCTCATAACTTGAATGAATGAATGCGAATATAGACGGTGACCGAACATTGAAACTACCAGAAGCACGTGTAACAAAGCCTACCTCACTGCTGAGTCTCATATTTCAACAAAATTACCGCCTGTCATAAGGACACAAGCATAATGTTTATTTTTCAAAGTGTTTGATGCTATTATACGAAGTGAATATGGGGTAAAGGTGAGAGTCAGATGAGTAAAGTTTCAGGAATGCATGATGCCACACTTGCTCTGTCTCTAATTGGGGCATGTCCCGACATGTGGAGAACCCCCCCCCCCCTCCATTACATCTATTCATCCACCGACTGTTTAATTTATGTCCTATTTAATGAGGCAAGGTTTGTTCATAAGAGACACGCACGTTTGGGAGCAGACTTTTTTAAATACATGTATGTATGTATGTATACGTGAGGGTGTGTCAATGAACTATTTCCAGATTTTCATCAATTGTCCATACAAAAAATCATTTTCTTGAGGGGATGAAGGAGTTCACCCACCCACACAAACGACCCATACACATCACATACAATAAAAGCATCGCTTAGGTTTATTTGGTGGGTGTTGCCTTGTGAATTCATGCTGCAGTACCTTGATCATTATTCCAAGATTGTCCAGTGCAGTTTTACAAATAACTTAATAACTTCAGTTAAATAGAATTTAAATAATATCATATCACTTCAATCCAAATGGCTTGGTAAATATGATTTAGCTTGGCACGAAGAGTGTAAAAGTATATATAGATTACCATTTGAATATAGCAGTAGTGCTGTAGAAATGGTAAAAGTACACATCCTTCATTAAAACTGCATCCAAATATTCTTTAGTAGCAAAAAGTAGCAGCTTTCATCTAGTCCAGATGGAGCTAATTCTAACTGCATGTTATGAGTGTGCAGTTTAGACTAATGTTAAGGAATGTTATGTTGTTTCATAAATTCAAGCTTATCATTTCATTTGTAAAGTATCTAGTAGACCACGTGGGATACATTTGGTAGACTGACTTTAAATTAAAACAAGTAATGCCACGAATATCCTTAAAAAGCAGTAGAGACGCGTTATAGGGATAAAGTAAGAGTCACATCGTGGAAGTGGAGGCAGTAACTCTATACTTTCATGCTTTTTCACTGCCACGCAGGCACACTGAAGTCGACCAACCGCAGTGCATGGGTGGGATCATCACGAACAGTCTGGCAGCCACGTAGCTAGCTAACAACATTAGCATTAGCTGCAGGTAAGCGCTCCAGTGCTCGTTATCCACTTCACAGCCATGACATTACCCCTCGTAAACACCGCGAGGGCATTTTAAAACGTGACTGTTGAATATGTGTTTTCCCACCGACTGTTGCTTGAGGGCATGATGTTATATTACCTTAACCGGCTAGCGAGCTAGCTAGCATCCACTGGTTCCTATGACTTAGTGGTGCGGTTAGGTTAGCTGGCAGGTATTAGCATACGTGGCTGTGTTCCCAGCTGGCCTCTTAGAACTGATATCTCGCACCGTTAACTAATGCAAAGTTAATGTTAACAGTGCGTAATTTTGCTTGCAGATCGAATATAACGTTAAGTACGTTGAAGTAAGCTAACTATCTGGGCGTTAAATAAGCGGAACTGCAGCTAACGTGTCATTGTTTTTTTCGTTTTAAGCTAGCCTCAGCGAACGTCACGATGGACTTGCCACATCAGGGGTACCGAGCAAGTAAGTGGAAAGATTAGTCAACACCGATTATCGTTTTTCTGAAACATTTTGCAAAATATCCGTCCATAGTCACTTCCTATTTTGTAACTCGAGCATGACCCTGTAGTGACATTACAAACCAATTATTCCAGTTTGTTAACTAATTCCCTTGATACTTTAATTAATGTCACTTGCTCTTAAACGCAAGCTAAAACCTCCATCAGTTTATAGCATGTTTAACAAAACTTTAACGCGTAAACTTTTTGAAAATAGAATTTGTTGAAGAACTAACATTAGTTTGCATTCGTTTTAACTATGGTACCTAATAAAGTATCATCAGAGGTTCAACCTTTACTCTCTGTTATATTCACTCATAGTGTTTTTAATATCTTTTTATATTTGATTGTGTTGACAGTAACTATAAAAATGTAAATAAGTCAGTCATTTGTATTTAAATGCCCTTCTTTTACTCTGTTGTGTCCATCTATTCACAGATAAACCGAGGGCTCGTGCAGCTCCTCCAACAGCCGATTCTATCCTGTTTGATGACACCAGCTCTGCAGCACTGAATAACCAAGGTTACTACACTCCTGCGTACAATATGGCAGGACCCTCAAATGACATGCAAGGAGGGGCAGTGCCGAACAACGTCTTTGCTGACCCAATGGCCAACGCTGCAATGATGTACGGCTCCTCAATAGCCAATCAAGGAAAAGATATGGTGAACAAAGAGGTGAGAAAAGGTTTGCTTTAGATCTGCTATATGCTTCAAAATGGGTGAGTTAGTTAAGTCATAAATACAGTTCACCTTAACAACAGATTTGTCCTGCCTTTCCTGCTGATTTTTGTCATTTCCAATTTTCTGTCTTTTATCATTGACCGCGTACATTTCTGTAACTTTTCGTCCAAAATGTACGCCCTCAATTATACTTTATGTAAAGTTCGTGAAACATTGCACAGTAAGTAACCCACTGAAGCTAAAGGACAGAACGTACCAAGCAGGCCTCTTGATATGGAGAGATAACATGTTTAATTAGGAGTACACAGTCCTCTCAAATCAAGCTACTCTGAAATGCTTCTTTGCACAATAGCTGCTGGGGTAAAAACAATTGTTTTTTGTTGTTGTTTTACTGGATTGTTGGCTTCATACACACATGGTTGAATTTACAAAGACGGGTATTAAAGCGATGCATGTGCCTGAGGGCACACACTGCCTTTTAGTTTTTAAAAGATGCCTATGACCTATAACCAGTTATAACTACCTTTGGCCGAATGTCCTCTTCATCTGCAGAGTTAACGTGTGCACTTCCTTTTTCCCTTTAGATCAGCAGATTCATGTCTGTGAACAAGTTGAAATACTTCTTTGCGGTGGACACCAGATATGTATTGAAGAAACTCATGATCCTCATGTTCCCCTACACGCATCAGGTAATCAGTGCCATTCAGCCATCCAACTTTGTCCTACTTCAATGTACGCGATGACTCAAAACATTAAACTGCATGCATAACTGCTTGATAATTTTCCCATGGGTCTCAATTTTCAACCACTTATCACTTGCAAACCTATAATCAGCCACTTAATCACCACTCTCAGCTTTATTTATGGTTATGACAACGCTGTGATTGTGAGCGTGGATAAAAAAAGGGCACACAAAGATAATTGCCCACACACTTTGAATCACTGAGGTTGTAAAGTCCCCACTCCAAACAATGTGTGCCTTGATAATGTACAAACACAGTGCAAACTTGTCTTCCAATAGCGGGGTCACAAAAAGCCATGCTGAAGAAGGAACTTCTCGATTTACTTCTCTGAGATTGTGCTATAAGTGCAATATTTTACTTTGTATTTACACTAATGCTTTTGCGGCCTTATTAATGACCTTTAATCTTATCAAGTTTTAATTGATTTTTATTGTTTTTCTTAAGCAGCTTATAGACCCTTCAGATGAAATAAAGAGCACATAACATCATTAGAATGTATTATTCTAGTCCGTTCTGCAGGTTGATTTGTACTGTACTTGTGTGTTGCTGGTAGGATTGGGAGGTTCGTTACCATCGAGACGCTCCACTGACTCCAAGACAGGATGTGAATGCACCAGATCTTTACATTCCAAGTAAGTTTTTAATAAAAAAGAAATTATCAATGTAAGTGCATCTACAATGCCGACATGTTTCACGTATTCTTTGTCTTTTAGCGATGGCATTTATTACCTACATTTTACTTGCCGGAATGGCCCTTGGCATTCAAAAACGGTGAGGGACTCTTGCTTATCTAATTTACTTTATGACTTAAAGTCAATTTGTTTTGGATTTGTTAGGAGTGTGGATTGTTTCTGTGTGAAGGTTCAGTCCAGAGGTTCTTGGACTGTGTGCCAGCACCGCCCTCGTGTGGGTCATCATCGAGGTCTTGTTGATGTTGTTGAGTTTGTACCTACTGACGGTACACAGCGACCTCTCGACCTTTGATCTCATTGCCTACAGTGGATACAAATACGTTGGGTAAATATCATGTTATACTTGGATAAGTATGTGCAAAGTGGCCTTTTAAATAAGGTATTTTTTAAATAGAAAAATCAAACCATGTTAACTAGAATGAAATGTATAATGAAGGGCATTATGAATATTTTTTCATGCTTCTCCTCTAGGATGATCTTCACAGTGTTGTGTGGCTTACTGTTCGGCAGTGACGGTTATTATGTGGCACTTGCCTGGTCGTCTTGCGCCCTCATGTTCTTCATTGTAAGTATCTCATGCTGTGTTTTGAAGTTCATTTAAATTTAGTCCTTACTTTTAAGCCATAAATTTGTATTAGTTTGATCCAAATTAAGTCATCTTTATCCTCCAAGTGTTTCATCCACTTTCGTAAATCAACAACTAATTACATTTTTTTCTATAATATTTTACAAGAAATTATAATGTGTTTAAAGATTTCTTCTGTGTTTTGCAGGTTCGATCTCTGAAAATGAAGATCCTTCCCTCGCTCTCCTCGGACTCCATTGGAACTGGACCAAGTGCAAAACACCAATTCCGCCTTTATATCACTGTGGCGACTGCTTTGTTTCAGCCCATCGTAATATACTGGTTAACCTCTCATCTGGTCAGGTGACCGTGATGCATCCAATAACTTGAAGTCCAATTTAATTGGAGCCAAAATATTTTGTTGTTGAGTGTTTGTACACCTGCCTTTATATGCTCATTTGTCAGTAAACTCAAAACGTATGTAGATGAGGTCGAACAGCAAAGTGTGTTGAGCTTATTAATGAAAAGTGTTTCTCTGATTTAACCAAACTGAAGTGTGAAATAGAAAATGTCTCCATGTAAATCGATTCTGAGAAATACTTATTTTTGGCCACCTAACCTGGAAGACAAGGGCTTTCTTAATGAGATCCTTTTATTCATGACTTTGATTGAGCAGGTTTCCTCTTTTTTTATGTCTTGCACCCATTTTACAGTGTTCTCACACACATTTCACGAATGATTCAAGTAACATGGTTTTGGTAGGGCGGGTACATTGCTGCATTATTCCTCTTGCGAGTCTTTGATCGTATTTATCTACATTTGAAAAAAGCATGAAAATGTTTGGATTTTTTTAGTAGAAAAAAATAAATATTTAGCTTTGTGTACTCAATTTTAACTGTTTGTGAGACCAAATACTTCTTCTCTTGCCACTTGGTACTGCCCATCATTTCCTTTTTGTCTAGCCCTCGTGCATCACTTTAAAAAGCTTTTTTTGTCTTTTGCCAAATTTTCTCCAGCCCTGATTATTACCCTTTCAGAATTCTAATTTTCTATACAACTGATGTTCAGTTACAAAAATATTGGATAACTTACTAAATGCTATTATTCTTCACAGTTGTGTTTGCCATTTGCCATTTATTTTTGATGCATTCCATCAAACGCATGCAGCAGCAACGCCCCCAGTGGAAACCAGGAACATCATAGTAGCAAACATTTTAAACTGGCTATTCTCGTGGAAAGTACTCCTGAAAGTAGTAGATGCACGATTGCATGCTTTAATGCCCGTATGATCATATGTGGTGTCAAATTATTTTGGACATTTTCTGTCCATTGGCTAAAAGTTCCTACTGACTTATTAAAGCAGCCCAACAGACGTGGACCTTTGGTAGAACGTCAAGCACACGCCGGAAGAATGATCGAGAGTGATCATTGTCAGACTGTATAATTTGTGCGGGAGCGCGCACGTGAACGCGCACAGCGCAAACCGTCCTTTTCGTTTCCATGGAGACCTCGCACGGCAACAGAACGCGGACGGATGGGTGTCCGATTCCTGGGCTAGCTTTGAACCCCACACTTCTCCCTTTTTAACTCTTGAACAACGTCTCCTGATCATCCGTGGAGCTCTGAAGTCGTGCTGAATCAGCGCTTCGGTTTTTTGGTGAGTAACAAGGTAACATGAGGCCGTTTGAAGCGCAAGGTAACAACACCTGTGGGGGGAAAGCGGCTTTCTTCACTGAATGTAACTTTATATTCCTCCGCCATTTGCCACCTTAACTGCCTCACAGAGCCATGTGGCATCACATAAAATGACTTATTACTGCATGTCCCTCTCATTGTGAGTTCCCAGTGAGCACAAGACGTAATTTCAACGTTGAAGTCGGGTTGAAATGAGGTCTGGACGTCTAAGACCTCATTTGAACTTCTTTTCAACCGGCTAAAAATTGAATGAAACAACGTGCCAGCAAACGTCAGTTTGTTGATAAATGTGTCATGTTGTAACGTAAGGTTGAAAGAGAGACGATATTAACGTTAAGATTTTCTGAATAATTAATAAACTGGTCGGCGAAATTTGGTCTACGCGAAGCTAATTTCAACAGGTTTCTATGGGTGGTGATTGCATCTGATGGAGGTTACATCTGATGATGCTTGTCCCTGCACTGGTCCTGCCTTACTTGGCTTAATAATTCACAATATTTGAATCATTTCTGTCGTAGGAATTGGATGTACTGTACATCTTTAAGTTGTTCATACTCTACACACCTACTTCCCTGCTGTTTTCCCCTCAGGTTTCTCCCGGTTGAAGGTTTTTTTACGTTTTGGGGTTTTGGGGACAGGGTGTTGCATGTTTACAGATCGCAAAGCTGAACAGAATAAAATGATTTGAATTGAATAAACACATTGACCAGAGGAATCTGGTCATTGAGGGGTGTTGTGTGCACTCTGACTCCCTTTACACAAAGAATCATCAAGTGAGGATGAGAGAGATGCAGCTGATGTCAGGTATACTATCCCAACTCAAGTGACTCAGAGCCACATCTTGTTACAGAATCTGAAAAGGAACTTCCAATGATTCAGAAATATGGGCTACAAACACAGAATTCTAGACTAACTTGTCCATGTTGTTTCTGCACTTTTAATTCCATAGTTTATTTCCCTGAAATATATTTTATTTTTGTATTGTTTTTAATCAGGAAAAGTGTTGTTATATTTATAATAAATACAATAAATTAATGTGTTTGTCCTTGTTACGGGCTGTTAACATGGCAACTGTGACTAAGTATGTAACTTGTTACTTGTAAGTTTCCAGTTTGTGTTGAAAAGACGTTTACGTATAGACCCGTTTTCAAGTGATTTATAATATCGGTGGTAAACTTACAAATGTGGATGTAGTTTCTTTTTAATCCTCTAAAATAATGATATAGCACACGAGAGGACGAAATATTACCGTATAAAAAAATCACACTGAAATGTGGTCTAAACGTTTCAACGTCGGGCATAGACGTCATTTAAACGTCTTTTCAACCAAAAAATGCTCACTGGGTTTGTTAAAAGCGTGTTTTTATTTCAGCATATTGCTTCAGTATGTTTTAATGAGAATTAACGACTTTCTAACAGACGTGCACCTGTCCAGTGGTTTTTATGTTTCATAAATCGGGAGTACGTGTCCTCACATTGTGGACTTTGTACGTTTAGGGGATGCTCACCGGAGGGGAACGGAAAGCTAACATTTAACTGAATTACTTCTCTTTACTGGAGCATTTTCCATCCGCTGGTTTAGTCAGTCATTGAAGACCACCCTGCCAGTTTGAATTCTTGTTTTTGTCTTGAAAAGCAGCTTAAAGTTTATTTGACTGTGCCTTTGCGAAGTGGAAAGCAATGCAAATACTTACAGGGTCAGTTCCATATGTTTTATTTCATTCTGCTGTATGCTGAACAGATGTTCTTTGTGATTTTTGGGCTCAGCTTTAAGAATAAAACTGACTTTACTTCTGCCCACCGTGCAAAGTGACTCTCTCATCGTTTAAGTAGATTCAATTTGATTAGATTGTAATTCCACAACAGAAATTCAGTGTAGCATTTAACCAAAAGTGCACAAACCTGTAGTGCAGAGTAACATATAGAGTAACAGAATATTTGGTAAGGGATATAAATGAATATATTACAGACGTCATATAAATGAGTGCAACAGTTACAGTTGCCAATCTTTAATCCTGATTTACAGGAGTAATTCCTCCCAACTTTGCTCGATTTGATTGATTTCTGTCATTTCTTCCAGCGGTTTGCTGAATGCCCCGGGACGTCGCCACCAGGGAGCGAGATGGAGAAAAGCTGTCCTGCACTGTCCCCCTCGTGCCCTAGCCCCTCAGGAGGGTCCCTTCCTTTCTCGTCCTCGCCGCAGCAGACCGGCTCAGACGGCCGCGCCTCCCTCCCGCTTTTTCATATTTTGTCCCCCGCCTCGCTTTCCCCAGCGACGGCAGAGTCGATTCAGTCTTCCTCCCCTCTCTCCCACTGCACGGCCTCCGACCGCCTTGAGGGGCGAAGCGTGCAGGGCCTCCGCTCGGAGGAGGATGACCTGACCTGCCTCAACTGGCTGCATCAGAGGGGCAACCTGCTGCCCCTGCAGGCCCTCCACAAAATTCCACCGCCGCCTCAGCTGGAGTCCTACACCTGTCCCCTTCCCGCCGCCTCTTCCAAGCCGCCGTACTCATTCAGCAGTCTTATTTTCATGGCGATAGAAGACTCCCCAGAGAGGAGGCTTCCGGTGAAGGACATCTACGATTGGATCGTGAATAACTTCCCCTTCTACCGGACGGCCTCTGGGCGCTGGAGGAACTCTGTGAGGCACAACCTGTCCCTGAGCAAGGGCTTCCAGCGTATTCGAAGGGACAAAAGCCAGGTGGGGACATATGTTTACCACGTTAAGAGCCATTTGAGCCGTGTGCTTAAATTATAGGACGGATGTTCAAGCACCCACATCTCTGAAATGTCCTCGAGTAACACACTGAACAGAGATGCAGTCAAGTCCCTAAACTGCCCTCCAGGGAAAATTATAATCGTGTACTTGATTAGGTTACCATTTCTTTCTGCTGTCAGCGTTGCTTAAGACCAACGTCTTTGCGTGGGCGTTTGCAGCTTGGGTGTTTTAAGTGTTCTTTGCATGTTGTTTCTCAGTCAATGGGAAAGGGATCGCTGTGGTGCGTGTGCTCAGAGTATCGACCGGCGCTCCTCAAGGTGCTGAGGAAGACCCACAGTTATCACAGCACCAACATCAATCTGTTAAACAAGCCTGCACTGTGAGTATAAGCAAATAGTCTGAGGTATATGACCAAAAATGACAACAGTTTCTGTTGATTGAATTATATATTATATATATATATATATAAAAGTGTTAAAAAAAGAGAAAGGTAATACTTTGTGTCAGTTCTACCAAATGCTACTGTTTTTTTTACTTTGCCTGTAGCAGACGGGGAGTTTTTGAATAATATAATATTTCAATGATGCTCTCGCTGAGGTTTATTCTTACTATTGTGCCATTTTGCGTGCAGATTGGAGGAAGCGGAGTTCGTGGTGCCTGCAGTGTGCGACTCTATTGAAATGTCAGGTTAGTAACATATCGACCCACAGCACTAAATTAGCGCATGAGCTTACACATTGACCCTCTATGAGTTGCCTTTAGGCCGCAATATTTTATCAATGGACTGACCTCTCTACATGACACTTTTATCACCTGGTACTTTTTTCCCTCCTCTACAGCTTTCTCAGCATGCAACATTGTTCCTGTGTTTGTGTTCAGCTGTCATGGAAACAACCTTCTATTACCGTGGCAACCCAGCAATAGTCACACTTATTCTCCTTTATGTCCCCTCATTTCATTACTGGCCTTATGGGGCTATATGGGCCCATGTGCTCACTGAACAGTCTGTTGTTCAACTAGCTTCCGTTCTAAGTTATTAATATTAATGTCTTACTTTCAACTTGATGTGTTGCTTTTCTCTCATGCAGATCCTCTCTCTCACCCCCTCCTCTCCACACCCTCATCCCAAATACTGACAGACGACAACCCGACTTTCTGTGAAAACCCACCGTGCCCTTTGACCCCAGACCACGAGGAGCTTGTCACCATGGAGTCGGTCGACTACCAGCCGGGGGAGGTCATTAATGAGATGGAGAAGGGCCCTCTGTCAGACAGCGAGTACATTGAGCTGCACTATTACGAGTCTTACCAGTATCAGTACCTGGTGCTGCCGGGCGACACCGAGTTGGACCTAGAGACTGTGGAGATCCTTCAGTCCGATGCCGAGGCCCAGGAGGCTGCTGGGTCACTGCTGGACCTGGCATTCGGCGTATATTAATGCAATATCCCATTAAAGAAAAAATCAAAAAAAAAAATAATGTTTTTTTCAAGTAAGGTAAATACCATTGATCAACTCCTTAATGGAGTAAAAAGAATATGGATCATAACATAATGTATGTTCAGGCACTTTTAATGCAAAAGAAGAATTTACCATACAATGACAACATGAACAAAGACTTGTGAGTGTAATGTTAACTTGAAAACGGGAAGGGGTAAGTATTATTGAGACGTTTTTAGGTGGTTTTATACTCATTAACTTCTTTCTCAGGATGGTAGAAGTGCTTCCAACTCAAGTAGAAGTTTTAATTCTCAAGTTAAAGTAAGTGGCAAAATGCTCTGTATAAGTGTTTTTCAGAGGTTAATTATGAGGAAAGAAATCTTACGAACAATCTTAAGTTGTATATCTCATTCTTACCACTGTTACTGCCACCGGTTCTGAGAATACTGCCTTTTTAAAAGTAGTTAAGTGAAAGTATTTTAATTGCTCTAAAAAAATGGGAACACCCTTCTCAATTAGTACTTACAATTTTATTTCTAATTTATTTCTTTGTTGTCATTCTTTTAATTGTCTATCCTAGAGTTGACTTCATGTAATTTAATTTTCCGTGAAAACTTATATAAACGATATAAATTGGACTAAACTCTTCAATCAATCATAGTTTGATTGGAATTTAGAGTAATAATGCAAATCAACTCACTGCCATTAAAAAATACTTGTTATTTGCATGTATTTTCAATGTTATGTTCATATGTTATGCCGTTCTTGTTAATAAAATTTGCTTATTTTTAATGTTGGCCTATTTTGAAATGCACGTCAGTTTAATTTAACACCAAACTTGTGTTTTACATTACCTGTCCGGTAGTTCCGTATTCGTACAATGATTTAGCTTAGTATTATAGAACTACATTTCCCTGAAAGCGAGCGGGAAAGCTGGGTATTGTAGTTCTTAAGCGGGCCGAAGCGCAGACAGAAAACTACTGGAGAAACTACATCTCCCAAACGACGCTGCGCAGGAAGAAGAAGGATATGTGTGAGTTTGGTCGTGGAAAAAAGTTCTCGTAGTTATTTACATACCAGTGTAAAAAGTCACACCTCACTCGTTCCTCCGCGGTTGTGTTGAAGCCATTTGAAGACGCCAAAGGTAACAACTTAATGGGAATATTATTTTAACTGTGGCTTCACCTTTGAAAGGCTTTCTGCATTGTTTTGTGACGCTTGTTCCCCTTTAACGGCAAACAACAGAGCTTTATTTTGTCTTCACCGTTTAGGATTTCGGCTACAATCTGTATTGGCTAATCAATACTTTAGTCTAGCTTTAGCTTGACGGCTAGCTGTCGATCGACTTGATCACGATCAACGTTAGAGATCCGTGCGCAGTTAGTAAACGTTAGTGACGTGAGCTGTCATCGGCGCGTGGCCGTTAGCGAGGATTAAGCCACGTTAACGGCGGAGAAAGGCGCGCGGAGCTCCGCTGCTCTCACGCGCTGTGAGCAGATGCACCTGAGCGGCTTCATTCTCTGCTTTGGGCGGATGAAGTGGTCATGGGGAGAGCAACGACAACGACAACAACGAAGCAGCTAAAATGAGCGGTGTGGTGGAGGCAGAGCAGCATGGCACCCAGAACACGAGCCTTCACACGCAACAAGCACTGGGGAAATGGGAGCAATGAGTAAACCGTGTTTAGTGGGACCAGCATCCAAATCTCAAGGCACCAAAAGAAAGTCGGCTGCGTGCTCAGAAAAGGGCCATTTTTTAAGGAATACATCTTTAGTCTTGCAGCTAATAAATTAATGGTTATTCACCGTTAGTTGTCTTGTGACTAAGACTAATTTGTGCTTTGGCCACGGGAGGACAATAACCCTCTTGTGAAATGTCCATTTTAAAGTAACAAGTCACAAAGATTTCTTAGACTTGTCTGTGATCAGCTGACAAAAGAAAACTAAAAATTTCACACTTTCCTGACTATTTCCTGCTTTTCTATATTTTATTTAATAGTAGATCGATATTTATATTTCTTTTCACTAGACACATTTCTTCGGAAAGTCTTCCAGTGCTGTCTTGATGTTCTTGTCTTGTCGTCCACAGTGACCAGTTCCTCTTCAGCATGGGGAGCAAACCAGGCCCGGTTCAGATCGTCACCGTGTGTAAGGAGGACCACTCCTTTGCTCTGGACACCGAGGCTTTGGCTCGGGTTCTGCTGGCCCCCGAGGTCCGAGACAAGAATGTGGTGGTGGTGTCGGTGGCTGGAGCCTTCAGGAAGGGGAAGAGCTTCCTGCTGGATTTCATGCTGCGCTACATGTACAGAAAGGTGAGTCGCGCTCTCTCACCGGACATCGTCTCCTGCTCCCCTTTATCTCTTTACGCATCACCTGAAGGGGACTCGATTGATGGTGAAATAGTGTCATGTTAACTTATCGGTGCTAAAGATACTGACTAGTTCCTCCTCTTATGTTGAAGTTCTGATAACCTGGGAAGTCTCTTCTAGCTTGACGCTGGATGCTTAACTGATGCCTGTCCCCGCTGTACTATGTGAACTGACTAGTTAACAGGAATGTGTGACAACGAGGTTATGGACTTAAGTAAAGGGTGGAGGCCGTGTAGCCGCTCCTGGTTGTCTCCTGTAAACACACCTGATGTCTAGCATTACGTTTGCTGTGCTAGTTGATCTTTGCTACATGTGTCATGTAGCAAGTGCCATCAAAGTACAGCCAGCCGCAGCCGCGTAATCATGGATAACTTTGACTTGACTAAGATCTGCAAGTGAACCACTACTTCATTGTGCACAGCTGTGGTTTAACTCTCAGTGTAACCGCTGCTTTATTGGAATTATATGGAAGGCATGTTTCATTTTGTTATGTAAGCCGGACAGGTTTTATTTTTGTAGATGCCCCAACTTGTCACCACCTGTTCTCAAAAGTGTATTTTGTAATCGGCAGGATGATGAAAACTGGCTGGGTGGGGACGATGAGCCGCTGACTGGATTTTCTTGGAGAGGGGGATCTGAACCAGAGACAACAGGCATCCAGCTATGGAGTGAAGTTTTCCCTATCCAAAAGAGCGATGGAACAGAGGTACTTTAAATATATTTGTTTATCTGTTTACTACATGTTTGTCACAATACATAGTATTCAGAACTAAGAGAAGGAGGGTGTCAGTTGAAAGATCTTCTAGTTTGGTTATTATCTGATGTATGTTTTCTAAAACGACCCATACTATTACTCCCATATTTTCCTCTTATTGATCGTTTTGTAGCAACACTTCTCATTCATTAACCTCAGTTGCATGTTTGTTGTGCTGGGGGAAAAAAAGTAATTTTGAAGGATTTTTTCTTTCTTGCTTTCTTTCTTTCTTTCTTTAGTAACAGCCTTTCAACCATTCCACTTTTGACAGCAATTGGGGTATTTTTCTAATAACTCTGGCGGTTGTGTCATGATGTGTCTTGCGTCAGGTAGCAGTAGTGCTGATGGACACTCAGGGAGCCTTTGATAACCAGTCCACCGTGAAGGACTGCGCCACCATCTTCGCCCTGAGCACCATGACCAGCTCCATACAGGTGACCGGACTCTGACCGTCACAGACGTCCTCCTTTATTTTTACTTGTGTAGTGTATACTTATGTAGTTTCTCTTTTTCTAGATCTACAATCTGTCACAGAACATCCAAGAGGACGATCTGCAGCAGCTCCAGGTCTGTTTTCTTTAGCTTGAGATCTGATTAGTCAGTGTGAGCGTGGTACATGCAAGGAATATTTCTTGTTGGCTTGGTGCAACTAATAAACATAAATAGACAAGTGCAAAAGATGAGAATAATGTTCAAGTATAAAATAAAGTGTCCAGTATGTTAGATATTAAACAAAGAGCAGAGAGGATGTGAATGAACAGTGCATAAACTGTCCTTTGAGTGCAGGATGGGGGAGACAGAGTCACTGGGGGGTCCCAGACTTTATTTATGAGCCCAACTGCTGATGGGAAGTAGCTGTTTTTCTTTAGTTTATGTCCACGTTGCACCTTTTGCTGTAGTCCACATGTCTAAATTTGTGCACAGCATCTCGCCCAAGGAGCCTTCAGCATGTGGGCTGGACGAGCTGGAGATCAAACTGTAGATGTTTTGATTAGTCACCAACCAGCTACACCTCCTGCCCCACAGATGCTTTATCATGATGCCAAACAGCTGCATGTTTGAGTATTTCTACAGTGGATGGAAACACAGGATATGAAATATAAAGCTCTTATAAAAAGCTTTTTTGCTTCTGACAAATGGGTCAGAATCTCACTTAACATTAAGTCCTGTTCAGATTTTTTGCATCCCTGTAATAACTTTGTATAATTACAGCTGTTCACAGAGTATGGCCGTCTTGCCATGGACGAGATCTATCAGAAGCCCTTCCAGGTAAGAGAAACCCTGATAGGTGATTCCTTCATTGCTGATGTTTAACAATTATTCGGTTCATTAAGTAACATGTTTCATTTCTCTTACAGTCTTTAATGTTCCTAATCAGGGACTGGAGCTTTCCCTACGAATACACCTACGGGTTTAGAGGAGGCGAGGACTTCCTGGGTAAACGGTTACAGGTACTTAATCCGTCTTCTTGATTTGGGAGAATGTAATGACTACACTTGGTGGATCTTGGATTCTGACTTTGGGATTTTGCCTCACTATTGATGTCTAAAGGTTAATGAGACCCAGCACAAGGAGCTGCAGACAGTGAGGGATCACATCCATTCCTGCTTCAGCAACATCTCCTGCTTCTTGTTACCTCACCCTGGGTTGAATGTCGCCACCAGCCCTGTTTTTAAGGGACAGCTTGGTGGTGAGAGACCTGTTTCCACACTTTTAAGGTTCATTTTTAGCAGAATGTACCATGTGCCGTCTTAACTTTTTGAAATCTTTTGTATTACCTTAGCTGTTGCTCCGGAGTTTAAAGAGCAACTGAACAGCCTGATCCCTAAACTGCTGCATCCCGATCGTCTGTCTGAGAAAGAAACACACGGTAACAAGGTCACCTGCAGGGGCCTGCTGGAGTTCTTCAAGGTAACAGCTTCTTCGCTTTGCTTTCTTGCAAAAAATATATCTATTTTAAATTTCTAATATTGTAATTTCTGTCCTGCCAGGCTTACATCAAGATTTACCAGGGAGAAGATTTGCCACAGCCAAAGACTATGCTCATGGTATGTGCTGGATTAACGTATAGACATTGTTAACATAAACATTTAGTTTGTTTGTATGTTTTTTACTTCCAACACAATTTACATGTGGCCCTTTTTTTTTCAACAGGCTCCCAACGGAGGCCAATAATCTGGCAGCTGTGGCAACAGCCAAAGATCAGTATACCAAGAACATGGAGAGGGTGGGTTTCACCTAAACAATGCACCTTCACTCCATCCACCCTCGTGGGACATTGCGAACGGGGTTGTCGTATGATCCTCACCACAAACCGTCTTTCCGCTCTAAGGTGTGTGGAGGGGACTTGCCGTACGTGGCTCCCGACTCTCTGGAGGAGAAGCATCACTTTTACTTCCGAGAGGCCCTCCATAACTTCTCCAAGACCAAGAAGATGGGCGGACAAGAGTTTAGCAACCGTTACCAAGCAGAGCTGGAGAAAGAGCTGGAGGAAATGTGGCAGTCGCTCAGCAAGCACAACGGGGTAACAGACTGCTCCAAAAAAAACCAGAACCTTTTATTTTACATTGTTTGTCACCGTTGTACCACTTGATCTGATTGTTGTGTATTATTATTATTATTATCATTGCCTGTATCGCTGTTGAAGGCAGTGACATTATTTTGGTAATCCTCTTTCTCCTGTTTGTTGTAAAAAGGCTAAAAACCTCTTCAGTGCCTTCCGGACCCCCGCGGTGCTGTTTGTCCTGGTTTGCCTCCTCTACGTGCTGTCAGGTGTGCTGCTCTTCGTGGGCCTGTCCACCTTCGCCCTAGTGTGTGACTGCACTCTGGGCGTGGTCATGGTGTCCATGCTGACGTGGGCCTTCATCCGCTACACCGGTCGGTACCGCACTGTGGGAGGAGCCATCGACCAGGCCGCGGGGGTCGTCCTGGACCAGGTGAGGCTGATGGCGCCGCGTTCAGAGCTTTTAGTTATGTTGTTATTTTCGTGTCTGCATGTAGCCATAAATGTCACCAGAGGGAGCCATTGATTTTGGTAAGAAACAAAAATGGTGTCCGGCAACCTGAGGGTAAGAGACGTTTGCAATAATCTAGATTATGATTCACCTGCCAAAAACTACTGTAAGAAATACAACAAATTCATGGGAAAAGAGATTTTTTCAATTTTAGTTTATAGAGTCATGTATTGCATAACAAAAGCTGCACATGAGCACAGTTTAAATATCCTCACCATCTTGAACGTTGGTTAGTAACAACTCCAAGAACACGCGGTAACGAGATGGTTTTCAGAGTAAATGTTAATAAATAAATAAATAAACTGCATCTGCAGTGATAATTATTAGTTTTTTGGCTGAATCTGGATTTTATCTGGTAAAGCTGTGGAAACAGAATGGGGTCGAGGTCTGATGCTCCCACACGATCTCACGTTAATGTTTTTTTGTCTTTTTGTGTCTCCTCTGTCTCCAGGCCACCGTGGTGTTGAACAAGTCGAGGGGTACCGGCCTCGTTGACCTGAAGAAATCCAGATAAAGGACCTCTGGACCTTTTTTTTTGTAACCTTGATGCAATGCAACCAGCACACAACACGAGCACACATTCAGCTCTGAATTCTTCTCATGCCTCCCATCGCCACATAGATGCAGGTCAACCACATCGGCACAAGTTACAGACATGACGTCAATCTACCAGCATCTTAAACCGTTACTCTGCCTGTTGCGCTAACGTAAAGGTGTCTCCAACTCAGGCAGCGAGTCAAATCATCCCAATCCCTCCTCCTGACGCATCATGTCTTAAATCCACACTGCCGTCATTTTACAAGTTGACAGCTGGTCTTAAAAGATGTTTACCCTTAAACTTTCAAAACACAAACATGGCTTTTTACTTCTCAAACGGGTAGTTGGGTGATTATCAAAGAAAGCTTCTGCCGTTTGTCTTACTACCCTATTACCTTAGAGTGCTGGCTTTGAAGCTTATGCATTTATACATATCACTCTGTGGCTATATTTCTTTACTTTGCGGCCTTGAAACGTTCCATTCTGTTTGTAGATTTGCTTTGTATTTGATACAAACAAGCATTTCTACTCTGAACGGAGGAGAGGATACGCACTTTCTATATAGCACAGTTGATTCTGGAGGTTACATTTAATGAGAGTTCAGTTGAATCTCATTTGTTTCCAGTGCTTTGCTGTTTAGTCCTTGATGGAACGTGTTACACTTCATAGATTTTGATACTTTATACTAGACTCTTATAGCAAAATTATATATAGGAACTTGTATTTGAGACATTTTTTCATTCCAAAGACATTACTGGAATACTCAAATGTGGTCCACGCACAATGTATTACAACTAGAGACCAGTCAGCCAAAGAGTTAGCTTTTGAAATGTGATTTAAACACAAAAAAAAACTTTTTACTTGAACACAGCAAGTGTTGAGCAAACATGAAAATAACAAGCAGGATGTATCAAACCGTAATGAGAATACAAAGTAAAAAGTGATGTCGTCTGACAGTTTTTCAATCGACTGCGGCGCATTGTCAAAACTCCTTATCGTGTAATCCTGTTTGCACCTCGGATCACTCGTTGATGTGATGCTTTTAGCGACCATTTGTAGCCTGTGCTATCAGCTGCCAGAAAACACAGATACTTCAATTTCAAATCCTCCATCAGAGGTTCTATGTGGTCATTACTAAACTCTACGAGAAAACTTTGTCCATGTAAAACTTTATTTTCAAAATGACCAACTTTTTTTTGGCAAACAATCCAGTTAACAACATTGCGTGTGCGGGTCAAAGCTTCCCTTTGAGTGAATTGGTTGCATAACGTATAATGAACCATTTGGAAGAAACCTGCAGCTGTTTAACCAGTCAGTCGTATTTTTCCAACATTATAGTCATGGAATTTAAAAGCTAGTGTAAACAGTGGAATTAGTTTGTTTTTAGTTTCCCATTGCGAGGCATTTAAGGCCAACTTGGGATGAGCACGGTTTTGGATTAAAGGGTTCTGATTATTTGAAACTATGCCCATTATCTCTGAACATCTAGGCGTATTCTTTTTGAAAGATTTAACTGGAGAAGTGGGGTAGCATGCATTTATTATTGTGTAAAGTCTTATAAATGACTCAATGTTCTAAGACATGACACCAAAAGTAGGACAATATAGTCAAATTATATTAGCATTGTATTACTACAACAACTAACCAAATATGTCCTGCTTTCAAATACAGAATTGACACACAAAGCACTAATAAACATCATCTCACGGTGACTGTACTGTACTGCAAGTATAAATTATAAGAATACATGTTTAAAAAAGACGTGGAATAGTACATGATGGAAGACTGGCTCAAGCCATACATTTATTTTTTTAACCATCATTTTGCACATTCCATGTTTGTTGCTTTTGCACAAGATGAGGAAACCAGCACTTTCTTTTGCACCCCCCTCCTCTTTGGTGCTTCTCACACTGTGCTTGTTCCAAAGGTAAAAGCATGCAATATTGTAGTAAAAGCTGATTTAATAAACTTGACTTGACAAAAGCTATTTTCTAAACAATAAACAAAGCCCGAAACTGTTAATGCGCCTTGTTCCAGCCTTTTTTTTGAGTGTCAATGAAACGCAGCCATAAAAAGGCTTTACAAAAACAAAAAGAGGATATGGGATGTTTTGTCGTCCTTCCACCCGTCAGAAGCGTCATTATGAGCGGCAGAGCAGTGATTATTTAACATATATTCACTAATTTTCTTCCTTGTCAAGCTTTTGTTAAACTCTACTTTTTGTGTGTTTGAATTGCCACAAAATATGTCCTGTATCAGATTTGCAGTTGAATATTTGACATAGATTTGATTAAACGTCATTGTCATTACATAGAATGCAGTTACAATAAACCAAAAAGAAATGTATGTCTACAATTTTAATAATACACTAATACACATTTAATATAAGCAATGAACCTACTGCTGCAGCTGCTGTACATATTTTATATATCTTGGCACATTTATATAAAGGCTGTTTATTCCAAATATATTTTTTTATTTTATGTGTTACTCTAAATGTAAACTGTCGAAACTGCATTTCTTTGTCTCAATACCTATAGCCTATGAGTTGAATATTTATAAGTAATAACAATAGATATGTACAGAATGAGTTGTGAGACTACTGCACGTTATGTGCAGCATAAACAAATATCTGAGATAGAACCTTTTATATTATGTTTTGACGCTAATGACAATATAAACATTTGAGTTTGTGTGTCTTATTACGCTGGTGTCGCTCGTTTGGCCGCATACTGAATGTGGGTCACATTCTACAGGCTCTGTGTTTACAGCCTCAGCAGCGTTAATAAGTCATAACCCACAACAAAATAAAGCAACAACGCAAAAGCTCCAGCCTCCGTATGAACCCGACATTATATCTTTTGTGACATTAGATATTTTTTTGTTAATAGGCAATAAATGTGTGCGCTCATCTCCCCGCACCTTCCTCCGCCTCTTCTCCTCACACACCGACGCTCTCTGTGCGTCTCTTCCCGCCCCTCCGACGTGATGACGTAGCAGAGATCTGCCACGGAGGGTTTTCGTGTCCCTTGTTTCCTTATATGGTGATCGGCGTCGCGGCCGCTGCCGCTCCCCGTTCGCTTCCATATTTGGAAGCGAGTCTAACAAAAAACCGGAGGGTGGGTGGCGGAGAAATTCCTCCCATCCTGAAAACCGCTTTGCGCCTGTCTGACTGATGAATTTCGGTTAAAACAGCCGCGGCACAATAGCATTATTTATTCATCTCTCCTCGGGCCATTTGAGAATGAATTAGTGCACGTATCAACGTCACATATATTGTCATTCCCAAAAATATTTTCCCCTTTTTCGTAGCGTAGTTTATATATTATAAATGGTTACAGTACGATTCAATAAAAAATGTGCGGCGTTAAAAACTTCGAATATTTTAACGTAACTGTCTTATTTTAGTCGTTCTATTGTACATCAAGTATTTAATTGGCAGCCTAAGATAATGTAATAATGTGCATTAGATATTATTAGGGAATTTGTAGGTTTATTCATACGCCACACAAACACGTACTCCCACAATGCTCCTCGCGCCTAGCTGGAGTGTTTGATTTGTTCATCAGGGCTGTCCGCGACCGACAAAGAAAATACAAAATATGAAAGTAATTTGTAAAAGGAAGCATAAAATGCAAAGAATCTTAGGACTAAAAGGTATGATTTTATTTTCCCCAAACTGTTGCCGATTAGTGTAATGTTTAATAACAATCAAAATGTTAAAAGGTCACTGGGAAGACTGTTTTAAATGTTGTATTCTTTATTTAATTTGTGTTTTAAAAAACATTGAACTGAAGTTCATACCCTTTTTTTTACTTGTGTTACGTTGCCACTTGTGTTATCACAAGTGGCAAAATACTGAAAATCAATACTAAAACCGAAGCAGCAGATACAGCCGCCGGACAACTAGGGGTGGCAGACAAGCGCCCGCTCGTGCACCTGGTTCAGTCGGTTGCGCGCTTATAGGCGCGTTCACGTCGTGAATTCAGTGTGTGAGTGAGACCGACTATTCATCACCACAGTTCATTCAATTTCTACCCAGAAGCTGACCAATCCAGAGCAGCAGCCATGGTAGGTCTACCGTCGTCTTTATGCCCTTGCTGATTTCTGTTGACTGACGTCGACTTTATCTTGAATTCCGGGAGGGTTTTTTTGTTGACTTGTGTTTATTTTATAGGTGACGGTGTCGTATATTTAACGTTCCACGTAGGTTAGCTAACGTTAGCCGGAGCTACTGCTAGCGCCGCGGCTAGGAAGCGACCCGACAGGCTAACAAAGCGTTCATACTGCGATGCGTCCGCTTTTTATATAAAACAATACATATTTATTCTGAAGTATTAACGCTGATTTACAAGGTTGTGCAAAGTGACCAGTTTTTTGGGGGGTAAGCCTTCTCTACCAAACAACTGGCGCCATTTCGTTGATCTCTTCAGTTCCGCTGAGAAAAAACACCCCACAACGGTCTTATTCTAAAATGACACCGTTGTCATGGCGCCGTGACCTTTTTTTTTTTTTTTTTTTTTTTGCTGAATCACGTTTCCGCCGTTTTCCCCTCCTGCTCGACGACGCTTCTACACAATAACAGCGCAGCTCTGGCAGGTGCAGCAGCGCCCCGGGGGCTAACCGGCTAACGTTATTGTTAGCGGACGCTAGCTGCGTTAGCCAAGGAAGAAAATGACGCCCGTTGGTGCTAAGCTAGCTGTGGTCGTCTGGTTCTTTTGTCTATTCGCTGCTCCCTGACTGCGCTGTAGCCGCCGGTGGTCTACGTGCTTTGGGCCGAGTCGCTCTGAGGCCGCGGCGAAGCCGTCTAACTTCGACATTTTGTAGGTCCGGGCTCGGGCTCTTGACACTAAATGTGTGAATAGACAACGGAACGGTCCTTTTTGGGTCGAGCTTTGCTTTATATAGCACGTTAGCGCACACACGTGCCTGTGCTGCATTCATGGCCCCACCCTGAATTTGGTGCAAAGACATTTTTTTTTTGTTGGCGTAATCGCTCTGGAATGACATCTACTATCCTGACATTTCCCATGTAGGCATCTCCCCATGTTATAGCAGCAAACATTTAACATCCCTTTCAACATTATGTAAGACCAGCTCGGCTTGACTCGTTAGTTAGCCGAAGCTAACGGGCCACGGGCTCTGGATTTTCAGTCAGTAATGCGCATCTTTTTTTCTTTTGTTGCGCATCTCATTTGTACACGTCACGCCATTAAACTGCAACAGACGGAAGAATACACTGATTACTAATTTTCAATTACATTCAACATTAGTTATTTTTGTGCGTCACTGCAGTGCCAAGAATACGTGCCCCACTATTGCGTATTTCTGACATAACGTTGACTTGTAGCGTTGACAAAACTGATAATCACCTAAATCCGCCACTGCACATTTAACCTTTTTAAGAAGAATCTTTTCTTATTTCAGAGTTGTGTAAGTCCGTCTATCGTGCCTATGTTTGCTAGGGAAATTGGCTCACACCGCCTTTATCTTAACTGTTGCTCTATGTAAAAGAATTAAAGACTTTTATTGTGTTTAGATTATTGCAGTCATTTGAACCTTGACTTCTGGAAAAAATGAACCCCGATTTAAGATTAGATACGGTTTGGTGTTTAGTCATCACGGTTGTTATATTGGCTCGCTGCTGCAAAATAAATGTATACAGATAGTAAACCATAATTTGGAAACTTAATTAAATCAACTCCTAATGGTGTTGTGTACAGAAACATTAGACATGTAGGTCATAATGTCGGAACATCACCATGAAGGAACAATGTGTCACGCGCTGGTTTGTATGCAAAGAGTGTGGACATTTTGTAAACCTCTGCAAATGTTTTGGACTGATTTGAGCGATGGATTTTTAATGTTCCTTGAGTAGGACGGTATAATCTAGTTAATAATCTGCTGCTGCACAGGGATTAGGAGGTGAGCATGGTTGTCTGCTGGTTAATTATTAGTCTAACATTCCTTATCTCATACAGGCCTTTAACGCCCTGAGCAAACCCACAGTCTCTGTGGTGCTTGTCCGTCTTTCCTGTTCCACAATTTCCTTTTCTTTTGTGTGTCTGTTTCCATTGACACGTTGCTGGTAGACAGCCCATTTTCTCCTCCTGAGACTGCATTTTCCTGTTTTTGAGTGCCTTCAACAGAAGTCAGGAGACCTGATTGAGTTAAGGAGGGGCCGTGACTCAGCAATGTGACTTGTAGCTATAGGCCGCTTCTTCAAAAGCCCCATTGTTGGAGTATGAACACTGTGCTTTTAATGCTTGATGGCGGACCACACCCACGTGGTGATCGTCATGGTAGAGATGTGCATGGCTTTTTCCACTCTGACTGTGACCATTAGGCGTTAGTGTTTTTCAGAGACCTGGAAACACCTGTTAGCTTGGTTCCACTAGTCATGTTCAAAATGGACTTTAATGCAGTACGTGTCTCATATTTGGTCGTTATTCAAACAGCGGCACTGTATCCATGTTAATCAAGAAGACCATACTGAGTGAATCATCAGTGTTTTCATTTGTACCACCTTTGCTGGTGATTTTTACATGTTTCGTAATGCATTAGACATTTTAATTTGACTACCATAACCAGCTTGTCACGGCCACACCTTTTGCAATTCACTCCGCGTAAAGAGCATTCCTGCTGTGTAAGTGGCGTATGCTTCCCTCTCTGGCCCTTCAGTCTTATGATGTCTCTTTATTGTGCTGAAGTAATCGCGTCTGGCCTGTTGGGCACAATGCAGTCTGTTGCCTCATTCAGGCAAAACACTGATTCTTACTGCTGTTTGTGCAACCAGCAGTTGAAAACCTAAACTCAATGAATATTTAATACCACAGGACAAAGAACCAGAAAATATGTCCATATCTGGACCTTAAAAGCGTTTGGCCACATGAAACACTTTGTATTTGCATAATATTCCCTCAAAGCGAATAAGCAGCTATTCAATGTGGCCGTTTCAGTCTAAAGAAGGGATGGAAGTACATTAGTTACATTTTATGTAAAACCGGCATTCGTGTTTAGCCTTATTTGTAGCTTTTCATGCTGACTATGTGTAGTAGGGTCATTTTTAAAAGCCACTTGAAGGGAATAACCTTTTATGCTGTGGCATTAATTTACATTATTAATATATATATTTTTAATTTACTGTAAATGTTTTAAAGTCATGAGTTAACTGATTGTTTTCTCAACAGGCCTCCGGTGTGAAAGTCACAGATGAAGTTATCGCAGTCTTTAACGACATGAAGGTTCGTAAGGCTCAAGCGAACGAGGATGAGAAGAGAAAGAGAAAGAAGGCCATTCTGTTCTGCATGAGCAAGGACCTCAAGAACATTGTTCTGGATGAAGGCAAAGAGATCCTTCTGGGCGACTTGGGAACCACCGTCCAGGACCCCTACCAGCACTTTGTCAAGATGCTGCCCCCCAACGACTGTCGCTACGCTCTGTATGACGCCACCTATGAGACCAAAGAAACTAAGAAGGAGGACTTGGTCTTCATCTTCTGGTGAGCACTGACGTTATCAGACTTTAGATGTTCATAATGATCTATAACAAAAACCCAGTTGGTTTTAAATGTTTCTCCTTGGCTTGCAGGGCTCCAGACAACGCCCCCCTGAAGAGCAAGATGATCTATGCCAGCTCAAAAGACGCGATCAAGAGAAAGTTTGAAGGTAAATATCAGCACGTAGACGGGGTTTGGCTCTTATAAAAAATAAAAAAAAAATCTTGGTAGATCATTGAGAGCAAGCGTTCATTTTCAAGGATGTTGAGAATATAAAGCACATATTGGATACAGATTCAAGAAAATTCAAGCGCAGCTGCAGACTTTGTGCAATGCATCAAGTTTGAGACATAGAAGCTAAAAGGTTTCAAAGTTCTGCACTAAATCTCAGTGCCAATCATTGGAGTCTGAGGTCCAGACAAATATCTTAGTACAACTTTCTTTATTATGACAAACCATCCTATATTACCGGGATGCATTTACTTGTGTGATCCCTTGTACAATGTTGTCATTTTGACCATTTATTCCAATTTCAGGTATTAAGCATGAGTGGCAGGTGAATGGCTTGGAAGACCTTAAAGACCGGCACACCCTGGCAGAAAAGCTTGGCGGCTCATCAGTAGTCAGCCTGGAAGGATCCCCTATATAAATACCCGTCTCCCCCCCTCCCCTCTCTGGCTACGATCGAGGCCTTTCAGACACATCTGTTGGGTTTAGCTGTTCAGTCCAGTGTGGTTTGGAGACGGGCAAAAGCAGAACCTGCACCATTTGCGTGACTCTCGGGTGGGATATTGTGGGTGGGTTTTGGGGTCAAGTGAAAGCTTAAAAAAACAACAAAGAAATCCGCAAATGCAGACTGTCAATCCACTTCACGCAAACATAAAGAATATGAACAAAACATACACAAAGGAAAAACATTGAGATACAACTGAGGAAGGAGGATGATAATGTTAAAGCTTAAATACACATATTGTTCATCTTTAAATACAGGGTTTCTTTCTTTTGTTTTTGTTCCATTTGAATGGTTGCAGAGAAAAGTACAAACAATAACTGACTTCTAGTTTTCTCAACAATCACTCCCAACTACTTTTTTTTTTTTTTTTTTGCCAAACTTCTAGTTTTGTAAGTGTTAGTTGAGACTAGTTATAGTATTGACTAATTCATAAGATCTATCGAAACAGTATCTGGAGGGAACATGGTTCAATATATATATTTTATTTGTTCGTTTTTCTCCCAACAGGCAAATTCCAAAATTTGAGTGATTCCTTTTTTCGTATGTAGTTAACAGTCAACATTCCTTGTACTTGTTAAACCAGGATCTTCTTGAATTAAAATGGTTGGTGTTCTGACGGTCTGATGGGAGCGATGTGTAAATGAAAGGGCAGCGATCAGAGTTTAGACTGAATATTGAATGGTGGATGTTTTGTATCGTCTCCTTATCTCTAATAAAAAGCACTAAACTACTGACTTGTTCTGCCCTTTTATTACTTTATCAGAATGCAACAAATACAAAGCTGTTGCCTTTCGTCTTATGTGTGTCCCGCTTTTATTGATTAACCACATCGGTTTCTTATCTATAATGTCATGGTCGTGCAGGATGGCACGCATCAAGGATTGTTAGTTTCACTGCACAAATAATTGTGCATCTAGAGTGCTCGTCCGTTCAACTTAGGACTGCAACTACTATATTCATTGTAAAATGTTAATTTGTAATGTCCAAAATGACCGAGCCATCACAATGTTTTAAATCAAATTGAATCAAGTGAAATGATCCAGTTCAAATATTTACATCTGATCTATAGACTGGATTTTGTTATTTTCCTTTTGCGGAAATGGGACTCGTTGGTTTTTCTGATCATTCAGAATCCATTATTGCATTTTAAACCAAATTAATTGCATTAGTTGTTCCAACCACAAGAGGACGCCACCCCCTCACTTTTGATGTAAAAGAAAAGCCCACAGACACAAACCGTTATAAATCTCTTTAATAAAATATATCAAACATTTCTCAAAATAAACTTAACACTCCAGTTCACGTTGAAAGGCGCGTGATGTCGGGAGGCATCAGTGGTTTTTAACGGTTTCGTATTGTGTCGATGCAGATCACATTAAGCGAAAAGCGTCATTGGACTGCTGTCATCCACTGGAGGAAAGTAATCTGGTGCTACTGACTCACCGCACAAACACCTGTCACCCCCCGTGGAAAGTGGTTTACGTTAATATGCTAATACGTCATGCAAAGATGTCGTGATCTCACAGGAGGGTCACCGGGGAGATTACAGGCTACGATTGTGCGACGGGTGTCTTTCTGTTTGATCTGCACTCTTCTTTGTGCCCGTTGTGCTCTAACAGGTTCCCTCTTAATCGTGGACGCAGTCCAGTCGGTTTCCATGCACCCAGTAACAGATCTGCGCGAACTTCAGAGGAGTGATTCGCACGGCCACGTTGTAATCCCGGTTCTCTCCATCTATCTCCAGCCACTGGTGTCCGGAGAAGATGCCGATGACCTTTCTCTCCCAGCGCTCCAGACGGTTGTCCCACACTCTCCCGTACACCCCCGAGCCGCTGGCCCCGGGGCGTGCGTCGCAGTGCTGGTATATCAGGTCGCTGGACTCTTCTTCCACGGCACAGAACCGGTACACCAGCTCCCCGGATCTGTCGCTGTCGAAGCCGGAAAAGTGGATGCGATTCCCGCCCAGGTCATCGGAGGACGGGGTGACGGAGAGGCGCATGAAGGGACGTCGGTGAGGCCAACGCAGCTCCAGCAGGGCGTAATCGAAGTCCATGCTGACCTCCTGAGGGCCCTGGATCCAGCCCTTGGGCACGCGGGTGCGTCTCACGCGCACCCAGCGCACCAGAGGCCTCTTGGAAGACGCGAGGCCGCCGTGCGTACCGTTGATGGACGGAGGGATCAGGAAGCCCACCCTGAGTTTACGCGCGCCCTTGACATAATCCTTCCCGTCGTGCACGCAGTGGGCGGCCGTGAGGACGTGCTGCCGGGACACGAGCACACCCGTGCAGCCGGTGGAGATGCGCACGGCCGTGGAGAACGGGTAATCCAACAGGAAGTGGTCCCCTTGGATGTTGAAGCGTCCGTCCGCTCCGTAGATCTGCCTCCTCACGCGTTTGCGCCGGGACCCCGCCCTCGGCCCACCTCTCCGGGGGTCTCCGTCGGACTCCTCGTCGCCCTCCACGCGCACGGTGGTGAGGGTGCGTGAGCCGTCCGCGTACAGCGTCTCGAAGGCCAGCTTCTCCGTGAGCCGCTCCGCCTGCTCCTCCCGCTCTCCTCGGTGGAAGCAGCTGGAGTTGCAGCGGGTCGTGAAGGCCAGCTGCGCCCGGGCGCTAAAGCGGGAGCGGACGAGAGGCGTCTGTGCACGAGGGATGAGCGCGGGGACGTGCACGGGCGCGGGGTGAGGAGGCGGGGGAAGAAGGGACCAGGTGAGAGGGGGGAGGAGGAGGAGGAGCTGAAGGAGCATGACCAGGTGAGACATCAGGAGGGAGCGCTCACGTGGCGTCGCCATGGCGACGGAAAACACTGCAAAGACATAAAACAACAATTCAATTTCATCCGACATTGCGTGAATTCCTACATGATTTGTCAAGATAACGACGCTCTTCTAGTCCCCATAAATCGGCATGTGTTTTTAACAGTTGATTGTAGTTTTCAGCAGCGAGGTCAGCTTGCAAAATCGAATGCTGGTCTGGTGCAACGGGGGCAACAACGAGCCCCTTGTTCATACAATATAGATTAGTAGGAAAACTGGATCTCAACCTGATGGAAAAAAACAAGCATATTTAAGGCCTGTTTGGTCCAAAAGTCGCAGACGAATTCCAAAGGAAGCAAAGTGGGCGCAGACCTGAGAAGCCAGAACAGTTCTGTGGTCAACAGAGAAAGATGAACGCAGCGCGTGTGATCACATCGTTTAACTGACAGTCTGCATCGTGGGGGGCTGAACGAGGGGTCAGGAGGTGACAGAAAACCCCTCAAATGAAATATTTGTCCGAGCTCAGAGGTAAGACGTTGTTTTCCATCAAACATTAACCAGTTCTCATGGTCCGAGGGGCTTTCAGAGCAGATTACCAGCAATGAGGAGATACTTGATCCCCTCTGAAGGTGGTCTCAGAGGCCCACCTGGCATAAAGAGAGCAGGTGTGTCAAAAAAAAAAGGTGAAAAGCAACAAGTTGAGGCCTGGCAGCTAAACAGAGCACTGTTTCTAAGGGTGGGGCCACACACCTAGGAGCAGTTTCTTCTAACACCACAAAGGAGGCAGCGCTAGAAACAAAAAGCGCCTCCGTCAGCAGGGAAAGAACAAACCTCCATGTTGGTACTCGACAGCCACAGAGGATCAGTTGTCAGTTGGAAGTTGAGGAAATGGTAATCTGAGTTCATGTTATTAAAGACAAATCATGGGGCATCTTTCACGTATAAATCTCTTTATGTTCATCAGGCTGCACATAAGAGGTCCACAAATCACAGGCAGTCTGAAGCCTAGAAGCTGCTAAATGTGATCTGATCCTGTCTGCATAAGAATGCAGCAGAGTGAAGATCATCCTTGCAACAAAGAAGCTCCCCTTCAGGTTTCAGTACACCTGAACTCTTTATTTAATTCATTCAATGTCCAATCCTGGACCAACATTCCCACCCATCTATTTGGCCTAAATAATCACCATACATTTGGGTAGATGAGGGCTGTAATAATCCCCCTTGTTATTCATGGAAAGGAATGCTGTGCTGGTGGTCATTTCTAGGTCATTTCGGAGACGCAGAGCAGCAGGAAGCGATCATTCTAAATCAGATCAAAATAATCTAAAACGTCACCTTCGGATTGGAGATCGACGGCTGGTGTTTACATCCCGGCGGCATGTTCCTCCCCACCAGTCGAGCCCCCCAGGTCCATTTCCCGCAGGTTCCCCCTCATCCTCTCAGGTAGCTTTGTCGGCTCCTCGTCCTCCTCAAACAGGGAGAAACGTCTCTCGCTCTTTTTCCAGCTCGTTGAAAAGGAAACTCAGTTAGTCCGAACGTGCGCAGCCGGACTGGAAGCTGCTCTCAGCTCCGAGACGCAAATAAAAGTCCCTGAAAAGAAGCGTTTGCTCGCTCTGCAGCGTCCGGCTGCACGGGGCCGGAGCCCCGCCCCCCGCGCACTGATTCTCGAGGGGGGGGGGGTCTTCAATTACCATGATACTTTACATGTGATACTCTTAGTGCAATTATCAATTATTATTATATTACTATGCAATACAATTTATTTTGTTTTATTATTATTTATACAAATGCATTCAGACATTCTGATAATTTTATACTCAATTAATTTATGTTAACGTTTTTTTGACTCATGAGCCTTTTAATATAGACATACTCCCATATGAACAAGCACTTCATTATGTTCTTGTGGCGTACAATGCCATTTTAATGACCTACTATCCCATGACTTTTTATGGTATTTCGTTCAAATAATATATATGCTTTTTACAGTGTATTATACTTCCATGTTTTTCTGGAAACAAACTCACAGGATAGTCTGTTTCCAGCAGAAAGTAGGCCACTTGTGGAATAAGAAGCTTTCCGTCTGTCTGTTCCAACTCACACCCCAAAGCTTCGTTGGAGAGGCAAAGGGTCAAACCCCAAATCGAGATCGTTGAGGACGACTTCGACTTCACTGGATGCAGAAGTTAGTCCATCATCCACAGCAGTTGACGCACTAACTTCTTTGCATCTTGGCCACTTCGTTTCTCAACCAGATCTGCCCCTCGTACAGACGGCCACAGCTGGTGAAGGGTTTCCAAGCACATCGAACCAGAGGAACCTGAGGTCACGTGGTGATCTTCCCTGACCCCAAAGCACTAAAACATCTGTTCAACATCCTTGCCAACAACTACTTTCAAAAGTGCACTAAGACACAGTGACTCAGTAATGCTGATTCACAACGCAGCCGCCCATTCATAAACTCGTCCGTCCATTATTCATGTCCAGAAAGATTCCGTCTTTGACAAGTTTGTGTTCGTCTGAGCCTCCTTGAACAGCCTCCCCCCCCCGAGGCTGTCTGCGGTAATGACAGGACGTCCTCAGGACGGACAGGAAGGGGTCAAATGATGTTGTTGTTGTTGTTGGGGAGCACTGAACTTCTTTCATTTACTTCCTTCCATACAGAGACCGAAAGGATCGCTACACGGGGGGTGAAATTGTGTCGGCAGCTGGTTCCAGGTGAGGGAAGTACTGCGTGATGTCAGCAGCAGTAATATCCGTTATGCTGTTTGGGAGGATTTTCCTGTAGAGTGATGCGGCGGTGAAGTTGCTGTCTTTCCTGCCTGCATGCCGTTATGGCCTGAGTACGCCGTCAGAGTTATTTCGGTTGTCTTACACCGCTCACGCGGACTTCTTTTTTTCCGTTACCAGAGCCTCCAGTGACAAAAGGGGCTGGAGCTTTGAGGTGTGCGGAGCAGCATTACACTCCTTGAACCCTACAGCCGCCTTACAGTCTTTAGCCGTGTGCTTTGTAAAGGGCACAAGACCCGTCAGATAAACTTACCTTTCCTCTGGGTGGTTGCTTCTGGTGCAATTCACCAGTGTCCCATTACTGCACCTCTCAGATGTCTCTGAATGACGCGTGAGACATTGGCGTCTCGTCTCTAATGCTTAACTATGGCAGAATACACACTGTCTCAGCCGGTAATATGACAGTAAAGTATTTTTAATCCATAGATATCCAGCAAGGTAAGTACGTCAGGTGAGTATTAGCTTGTTTAATTTGTAGTTTTAAACTTTAAACCTCCACAGGAACCTTTTAATTAGCTTGTAGCTAAAATGCAAAGCAAATAGTGATGTTTTTTAAACATTGTCCATTTAGCTCTTCTATGGTCTTAAGACTTAAAATCGTGTATTAACATGGCTACTTTCTGACTCAGATCATACGTGGTCATGTTTTTCATCACATCATTTTAGCCTACAGCTACACCCGAGCAAGAAGCATCCTGTTTCTGGCATTCCTTCAGTCTTATTATCGTCTGTGCCAGATAAATGATTCATATAAGTGAGGCCCATCGCATCTGGCGGGCTGAGGACTGCTGCGGCACGTTGGCTGCGGCACGTTGGCTGCGGCACGTTGGCCGCGGCACGTTGGCAGCGGCCCCTCGTCCTGCCACCTGACCTTGATCGCCAAGGGGCCTTCTATGTCTCATTCGGGATCCCTGGGAACATGTGGAATTTGGGAAGCCGTGCACCAACGCTCCGTGTGGTTTTGTTCTGAGCTCCGGGGGGAAAGAAAGGGGGGAGGAGAGGGGGGGGGGGGGGGTCCAGAAACAGAGCTCCCAGTCACGGCGACAGTGCTTTCAGGAATGCCGAGGAATGTCCCGACGAGGACTCAGGTCAGACTTTCAGCACAATGCCGCCGCTGTTGTGCGCGGGAGCAAATGTCACCCCAGAGGAAACACCTAAAGGCTACCGAAACTTCTCCTTATCTTCTGTAACACAATCGTCAGCCGGAGCGGTTTCTGCAGCGTGAATAGCGCTGACAGATGAAGTGTAAGGTATATTCCCCCTGAATCAAAAGGGCCCAGAGGTGTGAATGTGTAACTTTGTAAGCCGGCTGTGTGTGTCTGTCTGTGTGTCTGCTATAGAGAGAGACACACACACGAGGTTCCCTTTATGTGTGTGTGTGTGTGTGTTTGGCTTTGAGCAACTTGGCTTCCGTTTATCTGGATTCTTTTCTTTCCGTTTGCTCCTCCTCACAAAAAATGTATGCTCACATACTTTTCCGCCACTGTGAAATTACACTCGGAAAAGTATCTTTAGTGAAGGAATAGTCAGACATTTGGGGAAAATTCCTGCTTTGGTTTCTTGAGAAGATTGATAGCAGTTTTACATTTAATGGGTCAATATGCAGCAGCAGCTGGTGAGCTTAACTCAGCATAAAGACTGGAAAGAGATGATTGTTTTAAGAAGTAACATCTGAACTCCATTTTCTTGGGATTAATTTGCAACAATAAGCACATTCGTTTGAGCTGTTTTTTGTTATGAATACTTTTACTCAGAAAAGAATGTTAGCCTGCAAAATAGCGAACTGGTTGTAGATTAGGCCGATTTTTGGGGGAGTTGACGCATACCAACCTTCTCCCTCAGCAAACAGAAAAGGTCGGTATGCGGTTTATCAACTTGACGGCCCGGTAGAACCAAGACGGCAGACTTTAATGCTTTAATACTGTGTTAATTTGGCAAAGACAATGCACACCAGATCCACTCATTCTCTAATTGAATGCAATGAAAGAAAGTCTGTTAAAATGTTTACCAACTTGATAAAGATTTATCTTAAGAGCTGCAGTTAGCTTTTAGCTTCCTGACTCTGACTCTTTATGTCTTTATGTCTGCGCTATAAGACAAACAGCTGCTGGCTGTAGCTTCATATTTAGCCCGCAGACATGAGCGATATTTCTCCCATCAGGAAAGCAAATACGTGTATATCCATAAATATCGAAGAAGATAAAAAGAAAATCCAGCATAGATCCTGTTTCCTGTCTGTTGAAGATTAGCGGCTCCTTGTTTAACATGCGTTTTATGATTCATTCATGGTTTGGTCTTCATACGAGGCACCTGCAGTACATTTGACAACAAAAAGGAAAAAACCTTCCTCCACTGTTAAAAACAGCTGCTGGCCGTATATCTTTCATTTCTGAAACCATTTGTTTTGTCTGACATGTTCGTTCAATTATTCAGACTTCACCTGCTTCTTCCCGCCCACACGGGGTCCCGTTGGTGCTTTGTGTTGGAGCAAGTGTCAACAAACAGGCCAGCGGGGCCGATAGTACAGACGCTCAAAGGTCACATTTTAGACCATCAATTAGCTTGACTAGCTTGAGGAAACAATTGAACACAGGTAGAACATGTTAAGATGTAAGCACTTTCCAGGACTGAGGATCGACTCTGCTTCATTCTTCAGCCCTCTGCAGAGCACACATTGAGCTCACTCATGTAGACACCAGGTGAGATGTTCACCTGTTGGGCAATGCAGAGTTAACTTGGTCTTCTTGTCAGTGGACAGAGCACAAGTAAACACACAGAAACCCACTTTGATTTCACTGCAGTTATTTTTTAAACATTTTAAAACGATTTGCTTGGATGTTCAAAAAATGTTAAGTAAAAAAATATTAGGTTAAAAATAAAAGAAAAAATAAAAGAAAAAAAAACGTTTCAAAAGGTTTTGAAAAAAAGTCACAATTTTTTATGTTTAGAAAAATGTCATGAAAGAAAAGGTCGAATATGATTAGGGCAGAACCAAGTATGTTATTAAGTTAAATGATCATCTTATTGTGTCTCTAATGTGTCACAAGCCAACAATGTTGAAAACTACGAGGCGACGCGAAAACCGATGATCCGTCAAAAAAAACTAAAAAAAGATAAACTTGTTCCCCCCTTGTGAAGAAAACGACTGTCATGTTCATTAACATCGGTCCACTCAGGAGGAAGCACGTTTCAGGCCTGTGAGTGGGAACGGAGGAAAAAGAAGTGAGAGGAACTGGAACCACCAGGTCACCGGTCGATCTGCGTCGCTCGGCTTTCTTCGTGAGTATTCGGTGTTCATGGCTCCCTGACGCGTGTCCTTACTGGTTGCTGTCGGGGGGGCTGAGCTTTTTTCAGCCTGGAGGAAAGCGGCGCGCAGGATTCCAGATGTGTGAGTTCACGCTGGGCTTTTGCGAGCAGGCATACCTTAAATTTCCATGAAAATTGCACTATGGCGCCGAACACAAGTCGAAGCCTGTAGCAATCCAATAATACGTATTTCATCATCCCTCACGTGTGTTTTCTCACGTGCAAATTGGACTTGAGTTGAGTTGTTCGTAGCGGTGGTGAACAAAGATTCAAGACCCCGGTGGGCCCGGTGACCGTTCAGCTGTGAGGGCCCCGCGACAGCTGCTGAGAGCAAGCGGGGACTTATTAACTGGATCACAAGGTTTTCTCTGGACTTTTAATCTGATAATTGGCTTCAGATTCAAACGAGACCTTTGAGCCTTTAAACAGTGGAGGGAACCTCCAACAACAATCCTGCAGCTCTTGACCCGCGTTCGGGCCGGACCCTCCCGTCACCCAGGAGCCTCAGCAACCGGAGCCTTTAAGCAGCTCCTCGCTGCGAGCACAAAGAAC